TACATGGTAATAACCTCTTGATAACTTGCACTGTACTGTATATGAATGATTAACCATTGTTGTTGAAAGCATTAATTGTTACCACACTGTGAGAAACACAGTCAAAAAGTCCAAAAGCTAATATGATTGTACTCTAATTTATCACAATTATTCTGCAATTTCCCCATATTCTATAATAATAGTTTCCCCTCATTTTTGCCCACACAATATACAGTCAATTCACTTTATAGTATATAGTATTCTGTGAAACACTTTTGAGACGTCTCGAATATGTGATAATGCACCACATCAAATGCAAGGATTATTATTATTAATAATTACCACAAAACTGCAGGAATTGTTTGCTTTTAAGATATGTTAAAAGAGAAGTTAGGTGTCTTTTGAAAAAAGGCAATTAATTTTTTTTAAACCTACCAGGTCTGGCAGCGGCATTTGTACTGCTCTCTTCCCCATCAGACCAAAAAAACAGTCTTGGTCATCTTGACATAATTTGGAGTTTCTCGAATGTCTTGCCATCCACCCAAATTTGTCTGGCGTTGCATGGTATTCCCCAAAGCTTCTAGCATCCTGGAAAAAGAAAACAGCTGGAAATTTACAGCAAATAATGGACTTAAATAATGTGAGCAGATCATTCCGGGCAACATACCTCAGCAAATATTAATTGATACCAATTATCAACCGACTGGATAGAGTGAATAATATAATGGACGCATTTAAAGCACAATCATCTTATTTGTTTGGGAAACATTACTTGTAAGTGGCAACAGTTGAGTGTATAAACTCAAAATGTTGAAATACCGTGGCTAATGATGTGTGACATGGTCTGAGCCAAAAGATCAGATAACATACAGAAGTCACGCTGATATCAGATTTATTTGCTTTAAAGTTCAGACCACTTGCTTCCCCCGGTCACTTCCTTCAGTGTTTATAAATGTCCCCTAACCCAGAAGAAACGTTGACTGCAACAACTAAAATATTTAAGCAAAGGAATAAAATATGCAATAGCGTAAATATGCTTATTCGATGTTCCTGAATGATGATCTTGCGCGGAGTTTTTTTTTAAGGTTTGCGTTGAATACTCAATTGCTTGGATGGACTTAATTGAAACCTGGAGAGAAAGGGAGAGGGCTATGCAGATAACTAGGTTTAACCTGAGTCGTGACAGGTGCAGACATTTAGCTGTTATAGAGTTAAAAAGAGCAAAGCGAAGGACAGTATTTGCTATCACCGTATAAAAATGGTACAGTAAATGGTACATAAATAGCAATTTACACAAATCTGGTGGTTGATGATGGGTGCAAGGTCATTCCTTCGCCACTTGGTGGTACTCTAAGAGCTGTAATGAATGCACAGCAGCAGAAATTCACCCACAATGTAAATCCTTCCTATTTGGGACATTCAAACACCAGTCTAACAAAACATTACATAGCAACCACAATACAAGCACTGTTCGTTACTCATTTTTGCCACATTATAAAGCAATATATTGCACTGAATTTGTCTCAGGTGGTTTTACTTGTCCCACACGTATATTAGAGATATAGTTGCTATAATTGGCTTTGTAATTTCTCTCCTGGAATTTGTGTTCCTTAAGGTACCAGGCAAAGACTATTTAAAAAGTCAGGGTTCAGTGTTTTCTGATGTAATGTTACTGTCTCTGCTTTCCTGGGATGAATGACCATTGGGATAATCATGTTTTAGTTTTGTCCAACTGCAAGATTTAGCAAGACATTCAGCCAGATTTCAGCAATGAATGACTTATGATTCAAATTGAAAGGAGCACACTTGCACCCTGTAGAATAATAAAATAGCTAATGACACGTGGATGTTAAAGACCAATAGCTTATAAAGGATTAGCAGTGTTTCAATTTGAATCTTGTGTCAAAGTCGAATATGAATCCCATCTCTGTGTCATCTGACACAGATTAATGCCAACATTTTTTTATAAAAATCTTAATATACAACATAATATAATTCCTATATTAGACCAAGTGCAATATCTGTGCAATGGTTCCTTAACCTTTGAGATTAGTATTTTTAAAATCGAAGAATATGGTTTCAAAATCAATATTGGATCAGAAACACCAATCCTATTTCGATCCTATTTCTTAACTTGTTCAATTTTTAACTCGTTTAATGTTTCTCCCATGCACTGCTCACCTGGTTTGGTAATTTAAATTGCCACTGTGAAGCTGCCACCAGGAACAGAGCTGAGAAAACAGCTGCAAACACAATCGTCCTCATCTTTTGTTGTTGGTGGTGGTGGTGAAACTCTGCCTAAAATCAGAGATCAGAACTTTACAATCATATTCCAATCAAACTGAGAGAAATGCAAACACACAATAACAACTTGAAGACAACTGCAATCGCTCAACACTTTTCTGAACACAAATTAAGTGCATTTGCAAAAGTAAACCCATTCATTGAAGTGCTCAATACCTCAAATATATTAAGTTCTCACCCTCTGCGTTTGTCAATTGCACCTGAAGATCTTAATAGTGTGGGAGGTTGGTGCAGAGAAGTATAAATACTCTTGATTGTATTCTTGGGAGGGGTCAGATACTGTTACTGTGAGCATCCTTTCGCATCAAGCCAATAAAATGATGTTCCCTGATAATTCAGGAGAAATTCGACTCTAATGCAATATTTCTGACTCATTTCCTTAGGGATTAGCCCATATGCCAATTAAAAAAAATCCCTCAGCCAGTTTCAATCAGAATCACGACATCCACTTCCTGAGCAGCAACAAAATAAAGAGAAAAAATGAACTGCTTATATATATATTATATTGGACATATATATATTTAGGTGACATAAAAAGTTAGTCACAGGTAAAAATAATATTGACACATCTTATCGATGCAATTTACTGTTAAATTGTTAAACAGTCGAAGCTGTTTCATAAACTATTTCTTATAAATATTTATTAATATTTAAAGTGAAGTAATATTTCCACAACAGCCTCTTTCACAATTACTTGCCAAAGTACAATAGGTCAATGTAATGGTATTTATTGGTCAAGCTATATGAAACCTCTCAATTTTAATAATAAGTTGGTGCGTTTGGCACCTAAGTACAGTATCTGCCCCAAAGGAGTTGATTTATTTGCTCTTATTTATTTGCTCACAACGCCCTTCAATAAAAATAAGGACTAAAATGGCAAATGGTCTTTTGCTGATAAACTGCACCAGTTGTTCCCTGCAATGGGGGTAATAAACACTGGTAAATAAATGCCAGGCCATTGCTGTTGCTGAAAATGCTCTATACTGTGAAGAGCGCAATGTGCCTTTCTGTGCTTTGAAGATGGTCAATGAAATGAAGTATCAACATGATTTCCTTCATCATTGACGATATTCTCCCTCCCCGAAATGAAACAGGTACAGAAACAGAACTATAGCCAAGTTTTCTTCTCAGCGTTCTCAAGGTTATTGTTTTACCAACAGCTTTACAGTAACTGATCAATCAGTGACACCTTGAGTTGTACTCAAGTTTCACACAACTTCACAGGCGATGTTAATTTGAACGAGCGAGGAAGCAACGATTTTATTAAATAATTACAGAACGTCTCACCATTCGCGCAAAAAAAAACAATTGAAATAAGCCTGGCAAGTTAGATTTGGGGAATAAAAATATTTGCTGCTTTCCTTCCTTGATTTCGTTCGTTTTTAAATTCCCTTTCCAAATGATTCTGCACGTATCAGTGCTTTGTGATGTTCCAGGAATAATAGGATATCTAAAGCGCTCTAATAGAAATGGCAGAAAAGTAGACAAGGCTTTGAGTCATAAAAATCAATGCTTCCAAGGAAAGCAGTTGAACTGGGTTTGATTGGATCTGCGGAATTTGTAATCCCAAATTGTTATCCAGAAATTCTGTCCTTCGTATACATGACTACCAGATAAAGGAGAAGACTCGTCCCTATGCTTTATATTATTCAGTGTACACACTTCCTTGTTTGTTGCAATAGATGGTAATCATAATTACAATCTTATATAAACCTCAGATAAGTCATGTCGGTTGGGATCATACATTTAATATGATTTATGCAAAGTATGAGTTATGTCAAACTTGCATAGAATATAAACTCTTGAACGGGACATTGGGCAGATGTACGACTTGGGCGATTATACAATTTATACAGATCAGGCTTATGCGAGTTTTACTGTATCAATCAAATTTTAAGGATTCTGGTGTGGATTTTTGCGACGTTTTATCACAAGAAACATGTTATGAAGCATTACAGATTTCACCTGTAGCTAATAGCAATAAGAATAATCCTTGCATTTGATATAGCGCCTTATTGCATCATTGAGAGACTTCTCAGAGCGTTCCACAGAACACACTTTAAAGTGTAGTGACTGTGCATTTTGTGGGTGAAACGTTCCAGTAACATGTGTATAGTTTGACCAAAGCACTCAGAGAAGCAGACTGCAACACTGAAGCAGCTGCTGTTGACTTATAAAGCACAAATGTTGAAGTAAACTGTTATTTTCATTTCTGTCATTTCCCAGTAAACAATCCAGCTCCCGCTGACAGCATCAACATCACCGGCAGACTGTCAAGAATCTGTTTGATAACTGTGTTTTATCAGTTAACATTTCCAACTGAAGCAGAATTAAAAAAAAGTCACGCACGCTTTCTAAATCAGCAGATTACTTCCCGCTCGTGACTGCGTCAGGTCAGAGTTCTACAAATCAAAGGGGCATTGGAATGACACAAACATCTTTCAAATAGCCATGACACGACGCACTGCTGTGGACGTTATGTGACACATCTCAGCTGTGAATGTCCCGCTAGCTGTATCATCTGTGAGGAGATCCTTCCTCTTCGCCCGCGCCTTAGGTCGCCCACCCCCTACCCCCTACCCCCTGCCCTTCTGCCCCACCACCCCTCCCACCCCCCCCGCAACCCGATCCCAACCCCCCAAATCATCGGGTCCACATCCCCGACCGTCCAGCGCCTCGGGACGTCCTCCTGACGTGAAATGCGCCGGACGCGTGCAATTCCGTGTCGCGTAGGAGAGTCGGGCTCTTCCAAAGCAATGCCTCTCAGGCTGCCCCCCCACCCCCACCCCCCCACCCACGGGACGGCTCTCTTTCGTGCCAATGGTTGGTGTTAATTTGTGTCAGCGGATGGCGTCGTCGTGTGGCGACTCCCGTCACGTCACACACCAGGTCCCACTGGACTTGTCGAGCGTTATACAGTTATTGTATCCTGAGATCTGATGCAGTACAACTAATCACTGTAGGATGGGCCCAATATTTTATCACCTGTCCCAGTCCCAGTCTCGTCCCAGCTCATTCTTTTTATGTAACTCTTCCCCGAGCTGTAGGAATAAAAAAAAGAAAGCTCTCCTTCCTGAAACTCAAACCGAACAGAAATCTGATACACAAACAGAAATCCTGGAAACTGCAGCAGCTCAATCAGCAACTGAAATAGAAAGCCGTGTTCCTCTCGCCGCAAATCAATGTAGTGTTACCATTAAAATGTGTTTATTATTTGCTGATTACAAATTAAGGCACCGGCACTCCACTCCCATCATGATTTCATGGCCCGGATACTGTAATTACAATAAGTGTTTCTATTTCCCCCTGTTTATTTTTCTCGCTTGACATTTTTAATTACGTTTTCCGACTAGGCATTTAGCTCAATGCAAATAAAAATTTTCACCGATTAAAAAGCTATGATTTAAAGGAATCCTGAAAAAGTTCACACATCTCATGTTTATGATCTTACTTTGGCAAATGACAGTTTTTGATCTTAAATATTACATATACCTCTATTTTATATTTTTCTCTTATCAGTGGTCATTCACAGTTCTCGACTCATTGTGGAGTCTTATGATGCCCAAAAATAGCTTGGGAAGTCCTGGTTATCCAAGTGGCCTATATTCATCTTGTGTGAAAGTATTGTTGGAAGGGAGGGTGTTTTACTGTTAAAAGAATTTCCTGAGATGTATCTTCAGATGTATGATGGTATTGGCCTTAGCACTGGACTTGATTGCCAGACGGTTACAGAATTCAGTGTGAGGGCTGCCAATGCCGGCCATCGCTTTGATACTTAGTACAACTGCTAATGCGCAAGAAAGAGAAATATGAAGCAAGGGCGTGCTTCAAAATGAACATTCCCTGGAATATTTGCTGTGTTTCCTATTTTTTGAGCAGATTAATTTACTCCTACTTGTTGGGAGATAAGTAACTTTATACAGGGCAAACTCCTCAACTCATCACTCCGAGCGTAAGGGGCTCAGTGGCGAGTTATCCGGAGTGGAGCGTTAGGCATATGTATAAATTAGTTTATAAATGTGCTGGGATATTGACAGCATGATGATTTAAGTTGTGGCAGATTAAGCCAGTGTTGAGTTATCAGGAGTTTACGGTATTTTAATATAACGTTGCCCATATCGTATTTCCATTCCAACATCTAATCCTTAACCAGATTGTCCAGTTTATGGGTGTTCGGATTTCTTGTGTGTTACTTTTAGTTGTGTGGTTCCCAACTACTAAAAAAAACTCCCTGTGTATCTATGCCACTGTCTATGGTCAATCTCACAATAATGGAGATGTGCATTAGCCATACTCCTTAGAGGGTTTGAAACTGCTCCATAATCACTATAGTAGGTTTGTGAAGAGCTAGGAGTCGTGCTAAGCAAATGACATGCTGTTTTCTGTAACATTTTGATATGAAAAGCAAAATGGCCACTGTTTAATGCTAGTCTGTCTTTGCTCTCGTATTAGTTGCAATAACTAGTACTCGGTATACTTTAAAACCTCCTAGCTGTATTATATTTTTCCAAAGAAGCGAAAATCATCAGTTTGGGTTCTCTCCAACACTGAATGCCATTAAAGAGGTGCCGAATTCAGAAAAATCATTGCCTGATATTGTTCTGTGCTCAGCTGGTACCAACTATTCCGGCCGAGAAGCCTCCCATTTGTTCAGATATCCAGTGGAGTTGACTTCCTTGATATGAGCTATTCTCTTTCTATCTTTTGTGCTCTTGTGCTCTGTATCTAACTCACAAACACGGGAGAATTATTTGACCTACTGTTCTTTCGAGACACTAATCAGATGAGCAGTCTGCTCCTTTGATGTTCCAGTGAGATAAATTGGTTGCTGGGGTGAGTTTAAAAACCTGTATAAAGCGTATATAAATACGTTATCTGGAGTGCTTTTACAGTTACTAATTTGAGTTTCCAAAAAGACTTGGATACAATACTTGTGTGTAACTATTTATGTTGATTTGTGGTACAGATTATTCTATTAAATGAGGAAAGTTTAGTTTTACACTTTGTCATTTCCCTGCAATGATAGAGTGGACATTGTCAAGGAGAGTTAACTGAGAAGTGCTGTAAAACATGATGGGATGCAATGACTGGGTTATACTGCTGGAATCATAGAAATGATAGAGAAGAAGGCAGAGTGTCAGTAAGAAAGAAAAGATTCAATTTTGTACTTCAATGACATGTGCTTATTTGCGCTACCCACTGTGAACGATGTTATATAAATGTATTGTGCTAAAACTATTCTCTATTTTCTGGTTATTTTTGCCAACAGGACTACAATCATGTCAGACAAAGACAAGAGTGAGCTCAAAGCAGAACTAGAGCGTAAAAAACAGCGCCTGGCTCAAATCAGAGAGGAAAAGAAGAGGAAAGAAGAGGAGAGAAAGAGAAAAGAAGTAAGTAAAACTTCAAACTGCAGCTCATCTTCACTCGATGCCCATCTCTCACAGACGCATTCTCTTCACATGGTCACCATGAATTGCGTGACTCCTTATGACTCAGTCATTTCCCTTGTTAAGTAACGTATCTCTGTTCCAAGCTACTTATTAAATTTGTCTAATAGACTTTAAGCTGAAGGTTGTACATCTATAGCTGTAGGATAAATGTTTCCATTGGGTTTAATACATGCCTTTTGCGAGTAAAACGTAAGCTGTTTGAAAGGTTGATTAAGATAACCAGAGACAATTTCCAGGTGGGGATATCGAACAACTTTCTAAAGTGTGGATAAACAGTTGATTTCTGATCAACTAGTAAATACAGAAGTTGATTTGAAAATAGTTTATGATAACTCCGCAAATACTAGTAATTTCTGCAATCACTGATAAACCATAATTGAGCAGAATATATGTATTTTCCTATGTTTAATTTTGCAGTCCACAGAAGGTCCAGAAATTAGATTCCACAGACATCGTAACTAAGAACATATCTCCTTTATTCCGCAGTTATTCTTTTGCAGAGAAATACACAAAATAATATGCTTTATATTCAGGAAATTGTTATATTCATTATATGTTCTTTCCTAGTCTGCAACGTACAATTTTGCAATTGTATCATTTAGTTATTTTAAATTAGAACCTAGGATGTTAACATATTTCATAAAATATAGCATTGTATTTATCAGTATGAATATCTTCTTAGGCTGATCAGAAAAAAGAAGTGGTACAGAATGAAGAACTGGACATTGAGAAGAAACGCAGGGAAGCTGATGCCTTGCTACAGAGCATGGGTATAACATCCGAGCCCTCTATTGGTATGTATATGGGGTTAATTGATCAGGTAACTTTTACCATATTCTTTATGCAACTAAATGTGAGGCATTTTTTTCTGTCTTCTGAAGAAATGTATGCTTCTGAATTCAGAATGTGACCTGAAGTCGAAGAACTGGAGATAGCGATAAAAAGTGTTGTGTGTTAACCTGCAGTGGGAGTGGTATTTGTTGCACAGTTGGCTACATTTCACTAATTATATGCTTTTAAAGTCTAACCTTTTTCTTTCACCAGCAGAGTGGTAAGGACCAAAATTCTCTCTTAAAATGACTGTACAGCGTACACAATGTTTTTGACTCGTGTTGTCCATTTTTATCCGATGACAGGTTTGTTTGACATAACTGTCTAAACATGCCAACTATTAATAAGCAGACTGAATGCTTTAACACATTCTAAATGTGAAGGTCATCTTTCACATAAGCTTAACATATTTAGAATGTTTTTTTTTGGACCCACTCTAAATGTGTTAAGCTTATGGGAGAAACTAATTTCACCACTTAATTTCATCTGCATTTTAACATCAAACTTTAGTAAGCGTTGTTAACATTTAAAGATGCTTACTCTTAGTTGTTAAGTTACTAGGTTATCAGTAGGTGGCAGTAGTATACCTTTTTTCATATTTATTACCTTCAGGATGTGAGTTGTTACACAAGGTAATTGTTTTTTTAAAACTAAATTAAAATGTACATATTTTTATCTATCTTTTTTTCAAAAAAAAGCTGCTTGTCAAAACTTATTTTTATATATCTTGAGCATCTCTTACTAGTCTTCATGATTTATTTCAATTCCTAAAACAAATCAAATTGTATAGCTATCAAAGAAATTGTACATCATTTGTAGATGTACTGTAGAACGCTGACTAATATCTCAATTGTGTTTAAAAATGTATCCAAATTGGCTGAAATAATTCAACTGGAAAATTTAACATCAAAGAAAAATCATGCAAATAACGGATTCTATTTCATGTCACATTTAATTTAACTTTTTGAAACAGCAACTCTTTGTGAATTGAATTACGAATGGAGCAGCAAAGCCAGCTGGAGACATTAATTGAGTCTGACAGTGATACAGGTTCAGTTCTCTACTTAAAGCTGGGGCATTTTGGATCACACTGATTTCATGCCATATAAAAACAAACAGGAAATTGAGGTCAGTCACAATTAATGATTTTGAGCGCAGAGAGGCAGATTTAAGCAATCTGTCTTTGTGTGCAGTAAGAGTGACATTATTTGGTTAAATAGATAGCTATTTGGTCCTTTTTTACATATATATATGTATATTATAATAAAATCCATACTAAAAATATTTAAATTCTTACGGTGGACATATGCAATTATAAAGCATTAAATTAAATGCTCGAGTGCAGTTGTCAGGCAGTGTCAGAGCAAATAATAAACAGCATGAAAATAATAAAAGCTGCTTCCAACAGAAAATACCAGTATAAAAAAGATTCACAGATATCTATATTTAGTATTAGATGTGCGATCTTCCTATACAAGCTCGGAAGAACAGATTGTATGGAAGAGTGGGTCCAAATGATTAGTCCATGATTAGTCATGTTGAGTACTTTCCAAATTGACGTATTACACATTCATGTAACCAAATTCATCAGTTATTTCCGAGGGGCAAATTTTGTTATTTTGGGGATTATGACAAATTCTGAAACATTAACAACCCTTTGTTATGTATTGCAAATGAAGTGTTAACAACAGAAGGGGTAATGTGCCATGACAGAATATTTGATGCCTGTTATTTTGATAAACTTGCCTATTATGACTGTATGGGGAGAGATTGAGCAAAAGACGTGGAGAAGATTGATCGTTGGATCCGCGTGGATTGATTTGGGTCAGCTACGCTTTTCAGCTTGTATAATGCACGTTCCAAAACATATTTACTGGCCAAAGAATCGTTTCTCAATTGTGATCAAAATGTAGCATTACAAAACCAATGGATTATAAAGAACCTTTTCAAAGAAGATATTTATCAATCAGTCTGTGTTTAGTTTCTATTGGGTCATTTCTAAGAGTGTTTCAAATTCAAAAGAAGCAATCGAAAATTATTATGAATTAGACAAGCCGATTTGAAATGGTCCAATATTTAAAATAAAACCTTTAGATGTTTTAAATGGACTGCGAGAAATTGAACACAGCAGTGATCTCGTTCTCTCAAGGCCTGATAAGCGCAATATTGACTTGAACACTTTTGTCCGCTACAGGTTCCAAGAGTTTTCATTACATCTAAAGAATGCTGATGAAAGCAAAATGTTAGTGGAAAGTTATGGCTGTAAGTTGGAAAACATTTGCAGAAATGTAATTTGACAATAGCACTCGCAAAAGCCCAATCAATAAAATGCAGCAAGTGGTGATAAATTCAATTTGTGCTCAATTTCACTTAGTGCTTTTCATTTCAGTTAACTTTCGAGTAAAAATTAAATTGATTGCAAACTTAATTTATTACGGTTTGCAGTGTTTTAATTGATCGGGTCGAGCAAGTAGTGCTGTCATGAAACGAATGTTTCTGCAAAACCATTCATAATGTTGGGAGCACAATCATTTTTTTCCTGTGCTATTTTCTGATTCATGATGCTTTCTATGCATATATTTTGCAATTATTCATTGTTTTTGTTTTGGGCATATGATGTTGAGTAAGGTTTAATGTTAAAAAAAGTATCTGAAAGGCATGAAAATGCATTGTTTTGTCCTCAGATAGTTGTGTAATTTATTTAATCTTCCAGCATGTGTCGTTTAGTGCAAGCGCAGTATCCAAAATGATGGGTTATGCTCAAGAAGTATTTAACTAGTTTGTTGAAATCACACCACCGCAAAGCATCAGGAGTCATCAGCGTTGCATTATATTTCAACTAAAATTGAGCTCACATTTGTCTGGTAATATGATTAAAATACTTGGAGGTGATGAAATGCAGCAGTAATAATGATTGATCCTTTGACATGAAGAGCCTGTGGCTCTTATCAATGTCCTGTATTTTTCTGATGTAAATTCATGAGTTATTTGAGTACATGCTATTCATCGCTGCTGAATGTTTGCATTGATATAAAACGCTGATTTTGAAATTGAATGTGTGATTTTCTGTGAAATGTTCCCTTCCACCATCCTCCATTACTCATTAGCTTGTGGTCAAATCATCATTGTGTTTTGTTAATGCCTGTTTGCTGTCTTTCTCTTAAAAGCTGAAGAAAACTTGACCTAATCAAATGGGTATTATCCCTTTTTCCAGCCTACTTGAAAAGTATTTTACTTGAGGAATAAATCTTTGCACAACGTTTTATTAACCAGGCAGTTGTGTATATTGCATATCATTTTAGACAAGATATACAGTGTATTTTAAATTCACGAGCTAATGTGTGATCTATTTTGTATGTTTTGGTAGCTAGAATAAATAATTCAGGGGTCGATTGAAATGCTGTACAATAGTTTTGACTTCACTAGCATCTCTGTAAGTAGGTAAAAGGATAATGTATTTCTATATGTTGGGCCTATGGAATAACTGGCACATGTTGCAGTGTTGATTTTGGGAAAGCATAACTCCAACTCATAGTTGTTTCCAAATCTGCTTCATCTGTAGTCTGAATTCATACATTGCAGAATATGCATGGAAACTCCGCATGGAATTTAACTTTGTTTTTTTCCCCCCTTCTCTTTCTTAAATTTCATTTCACTCATGTATTTTTCTTTAAATACCATCTCCTTTTGTTTTATATTCAATACTTCATGTTCAATTGATTTTGAAACATCATTACCAGTGCATCCACTACGGGTAGTAACAGCGGATACCTGTCTGTTTCACTATTTAGTCCCTCCTACGTCTCCTTCCTCGAAATCGGTGAGTACACCAAGTGAGGCTGGAAGCCAGGACTCCGCTGATGGCACTCTTGGGGCAAGGTACGATCATTCTACAATTGTCTTTCACATCTTTTTTTTGCCTTACGGTACCATGTCAAATTTGACTTCTGGTTTATGCAGGATTTCCATTCCTCCTCTCTTCCTCCTCAATCCGAAAAGAAAATGATAGGATTGTTGAGGCCCCTTTTTAAGTATGACATTCCTACATTTCCTCCCTCTCTATTCCTTTCTGTAAAACCACACACATTGTCTGTGTGTGATGTGTTTGCGGGGCATTGACTGGTGCTGCTTTTCAGTCGGTTGCTAGGAGGCACATAACACCAGCCTCCAATTTGTGTTTTGTTATTCTGGGCTCTGGCCTCTGCTCACCACTTTCCTCCATCGATGGAGCTGATATCTCAAGCTCTGCATTGATATTCCAAAATGCTGTATCATCCATATAATGTATGTGTTGTAATAAGACATAGCCTGAATTTAAATTCCCTGTGTATTCATTCTGTCTGGCATTAGTTGTCACACATGCGTGGGATGAATCCTGAACAACCTATTGATTTGCATTATGCTTTTTACCTCTCCTTTTCCAATGTCAGTTTGACCATTATCTTGTGGCAATAAACAAACTTGAAGCTGTCCTGTTACAAAATAGTTGCTAGATGAATAAAAAATTAATCCTTGCATTTGATATAGCACTTTTCACATCTTCTACAACAACAACAACAACAACAAGATTCCATTTATAGAGCGCCTTTCACGGCGGGAGGACGTCCCAAGGCGCTGTACTGGGTCAGGACCCGAGCAGGGGGGAAATGGTCAGGGTGAGGGGAGGGAAGGGAGGGAGGGAGGAGGGGGTAGAGAGTCGAGAGGGGAGCTGAAGGCACGGTCAAAGAGAAAGGTCTTGAGACCGGCCTTGAAGGAGGAAAGGGAGGAGGCAATGCAAAGGCACTGGGGAATAGAGTTCCAGAGCCTCGGGGCTGAGAGGCTGAAGGCCCGGCCACCGATGGTAGGGCGGTTGGGGCGGGGGATGTGGAGCAGACCGGAGCCAGAGGAACGGAGGGTACGGGCAGGTAGGTAGGGGGATAGTAGGTCAGAGAGGTAGGAGGGAGCAAGGCCGTGAATGGCCTTGTAGGTGAGGATGAGGATCTTGAATTCAATCCTCTGGGGGATGGGGAGCCAGTGGAGGCGAGCGAGGGTGGGAGTGAGGGTGAGGGCGAGGGTGGGAGTGATGTGGTCACGGTGTCTGGTGCGGGACAGTACACGAGCTGCAGAGTTCTGAATGACCTGCAGTGTGGAGGGAGGTGTGGGGAAGGCCGGCGAGGAGAGAGTTCCCATAGTCCAGCCTTGAGGTGACAAAGGCGTGGACCAGGGTTTCAGCAGCGTGAGGGGTGAGGTAGTGCCGTAGTCTGGCGATATTCCGGAGGTGATGGAAGGCGGTGCCAGTTGTGGGGCGGATATGAGGGAGAAAGGACAGCTCAGGGTCGAACAGAACCCGGAGGTTCCTGACTGGCTTTGAGAGGTGGAGAGTGCAGCCTTGGATGCTGATGCTGTCAGCGCCTGAGGTGCGGAGGAGCTGACGAGAGCCAATCAGGAGGGCCTCAGTTTTCTGCACGTTGAGCTGAAGAAAGTTGTCTCTCGTCCAGGACTCGATGTCGGACAGGCAGCTGTCAGGACATCGGTGGTCGTGGAGTTGAGGGTAGAGGAGGAAAGGTAGAGTTGGGTGTCATCCGCATACATGTGGAAGTTAACCCCATGTCTGCGGATGATGTCACCACAGGGGGAGCATATAGAGGGTGAAGAGGAGGGGACCGAGGACAGAGCCCTGAGGGACACCGCACGAGACAGTGCGGGGGTGGAGGAAAAGCCATTCGTGGAAACAAAGTGAAGACGGTGGGAGAGGTACGACCTAAACCACTCAAGGACAGGGCCTTGAAGGTTGAGGTGGGAGGACAAGCGGTGGAGGAGGATAGTGTGGTCGACCGTATCGAATGCTGCCGATAGGTCGAGGAGGACGAGGAGGCAGAGGGAGCCCTGGTCACAGATGGTCAGGATGTCATTGGTGACCTTGACCAGGGCAGTTTCTGTGCTATGGGCAGCACGGAAACCCGACTGAAGGGGTTCGAATAATGAATGGGTGGAGAGGAAAGAGCGCAGCTGGGAGGCGACAACTCGTTCCAGGACCTTGGACAGGAAGGGGAGGTTGGAGATGGGCCGGTAGCTTGATAGCTGCGACGCATCAAGGGAGGGTTTTTTCAAGGTGGGAGTGATGGTGGCAGTTTTTAAGGGAATGGGAACAGAGCCAGAGGAGAGGGACAGGTTGACGATGTCTGTGATATGTGGGGCAAGGAGGTGGAGCTGGGAGATAAGGAGTGGAGTGGGGATGGGGTCAAGGGAGCAGGTGGTGGGTTTCAGGGATAGGATGAGTTTGGTGACAGAGGGTGGGGAAACGGGTACGAAAGTGTGTAGGGGAGGATGGGTAGGAGTCGGAGTGTGGGAGGGAGGGGTGGGGGTGGGTGGATGTTGGAGGGGAAGTGACCGCGGAGCGAATTCCCTTGATCTTGGATTCAAGGAAATCCAGCATCTCCTCGCAGTGAAGGTTGGAGGAGATGACCTGCGCGGGGTGGCGGGGGGGACGGAGGAGTCGGGATGTGGTAGAAAACAGTAGCCTGGGGTTGTTCTTCGCCTCCAGGATTATCCTGGAGTAGAAGGACGACTTGGCCGAGGCTAGAGTGGAGCGGTAGATTTTGAGGAGGTCCAGCCAGATTTGTCGGTGGACCGTTAGGCCAGATTTGACGCAGGTGCGTTCAGCGGCCCACACCTGGCTTTCAGTGAGCGGAGGTGGGTGGTGAACCAGGGGGAGGAGCGAGAGTAGGAGACAGTACGGGAGGTGATGGGGGCAAGAGTATCGAGTGTGGAGGAGAGGGTGTTGTGGAGGAGGGTGAGAGCAGAAGAGGGGTCGGTGAGGGTTGAAGGCCAGAGGGAGAGGAGTTCAGAGGACTCCAAGGCAGCGGTTAGGGATTGTGGGGGTAACTTCTTCCAGGGGCGGTAGAAGATGGTGGTGGGTCTGGTGGAGGTGGGGAGGGGGTGGAGGTGGTGAAGGAGATGAAGTGGTGGTCGGAGACGGCCTTGTCGGTGATAGTGACATCCGAGACACTGAGGCCCCGGGTGATCACCAAGTCGAGTGGGTGGCCGTGACTGTGAGTGGGGGAGTTGATGTGGAGGGAGAGGTTGAGCGAGGAGAGCAGGGAAGAGAAGTCTGAGGAGATGGAGCAGGAGGGGGTGAAGTGCAGGTTAAAGTCGCCCAGGATGATGAGGCGATCAGAGCAGAGGCAGAGAGATGTGAGAAGTGTTGAGATATCAGAGATAAAGGTGGGAGAGGTTTTAGGGGGCCGGTAGAGGAGGAGGATTTTAAGTGAGAGGAAGGAGGGGTGGGAGAGGGTGAGGTGCTCGAAAGAGGGGAAAGAGCCAGAGGAGTAGGGGGATAGGGCAAGTGGTGTCCTTGAGATAAGGGCTACACCACCGCCACGGCGGTTGGGGCGGGGGATGTGGTGGGAGGTGTAGCCGGGTGGTGTGGCCTCCGTGAGGGGGAAGGTGTCGCCTGGGGTGAGCCAGGTTTCCGTTAAGGCCTTGATGTCTAGACTTCTAGACTTCTCAAAGCGCTTCACAGAATATACTGTAAAGTGAATTGACTATATACTTGTGGGCAAAATGTGGCAGCGTCCCACAAACATTGGTGGATTGAAGTGACCAAATTATTATTGTTTTTTTCTTGAGGGATTATTATCAGGTGTGTGGAGTAAGGAAACTTGCCCAAGGTTTTGCACTGCCGGGAATCGAATCCAGGTCTCTCGCTTGTGAGGCGAGCGCTCTAACCACTGAGCTACAGGACTCCATGAAGTTTTAACTCCGTACTTCAATATAAAGTACCAACTAATATGTACTTTTCATACTGGAGGCCAGATACTATTCCAGAATTGAGCTGATAATGTCACATTTTAATTCCAGTATGTAAATCCCAAATAGTCATACATATTTGGTCATCAGTTTGGCTCAGAGGTTTGTTTTTGCTTTGTTCTCTCTCTGTCTCTTGTACAGGCATCTCTCTAATTTCATTTTGTTTTTACACAATGATCAGACACGCGCACTTTCAAGCAGGGATCACTGGATTACAATCTGGAGTATCTGTTTCTTTTCCCTCCCTTCCTAGCCAAGGAAACGCTAAAACTAATTGTAGTGGATTGACTACTCTGGCTGAGATAGACTTAGTGAAAAGCTGCAACCATTCATCTGCATGGCACAGTGCTATACAATAAATCCTGTGAAGTGCTTTAAGAGGTTTCAATAACATGATAATATGCTGTATCAAATGCAGGATTTATTTAAAATTAACAAGCATCATTTGATATTTGGGCATGGCCTCATTCTCACCACTGCCACTGTATTCTTAACTGAAACAGTGAACAGGCGTTGCAGGGCAATTGGGTGTAGTGAGCTTTGAAACCTGTGGAGGGAACTCTTATGCTGTGTATATATATATATATATTGCGAGAAGGAAAGTGGGTGCTTTCCATTAGTGGAACAGTGTGAAATTGAAAGCCTGATTTATATGTCTCGCTTCTTTGCTTTAGGGCTGCTTTTAGCACCACCCAGTTTTGTAGATTTTACGAATCAGCCAACCAGCTCTTTAATGACGTTACAAAGCAGCCCTTTAAAAGTTTCTTGGACTAACTGGTCTTCAAACCTCCTGTGGGGGCTGCAGCACAGTTCATTCTGGCTCAATTCTTAGTTTTTTTTTGTATTACTCACTCTGTGATATTTGACAGTGATTCACAGCAAAAAAAAGTGCAACATAAATGGAGCATCAATTGACCTGCATATTTCAGTCCAGTTTGAAGTTGATAGTGAGTGCTGCTGAGTTTACAGTAGTTAACTAATGTAAAATAGTCCAAATACAGTAATATATAGCAATCCAATACAACACTCTAATTCTGGTCTATAGAGAAAAAATAAAGCTGCTGTCAAACGAGGAAACCTTTCAGTTGAAAAGTCAGACCAGCCCTAAGCACCGTGCATTTTATTTCTTTTCATTTCTTTCCTACTTTCAGTGCCATATAATTAGGCAGATAGTAGGAACATTGGTGAACATGAATTGAAAAAATGTCCTTTCTTCAGTTTTTGTGACTGCCTTTTCATTTAAAAATACAAAATAAGGAACTATTCTGGGTTGATGGGATGAAAAAAGGATGTTTGCTGGAAGCCCGGGGCTATAGTTAACCTATAATTACAGCGGTGTCACATCTTGGTAACTTTACTGTTTTTTATGCCTCGGCAGACTTGGAGAGATCCTCCTTACCTGTGGCGTAATATGTAAGCTCAGTTCCTGTACAAATTGTTTTATTTTGCTGCAAAGGGTTGGCAATGGCAAACAGACATAGTGTCATGAATTCTCCCTGCTATTAAAATGACTGATTTTAAGCACAAAACACCATTAACCCATAGTAAGAAGCCTCAGCTAGAGTACTGTGTTCAGTTCTGGACACCACACTTTAGGAAGGATGTCAAGGCATTGGGGAGGGTCAAAGGAAATTTACCAGGATGGTACCAGGAATGCAGGACTTCAGTTATGAGGAGAGGCGAGAGAAGCGAGGATTATTCTCCTTGGAGCAGAGAAGGTTAAGAGGAGACTTAATAGAAGTTTTCAAAATTATGAGGGGATTCGTGAGGGTGAACGGGGAGAAACTATTTCCACTGGCGGGTGGGTCGGTAACCGAGGACATCGATTTAAAAGAGTTGTTAAAAGAAACAGAGGGGAGGTGAGGAGAAATTTTTTTACACTGCGAGTTGTTCGGATCAGGAATGCATTGCCTGAAAGGGTGGTGGAAGCCAACTCGATAACAACTTTAAAGAGAGAAGTAGATAATTATTTGGGGAGGACAGGTTTGCCGGGCGATGGGGAGAGCGTGGGGGAGTGGGATTGATTTGGAAAGCTCTTTTAAAAGAAGCGGCACAGACACAATGGGCCAAATGGCCTCCTTCTGTACTGTATAATTCTATGATTATAAATGTTACAATTTCCTTTGGAATAGGTTTGCATGGCAATATTTTTGAAGAATGGAAACAATCTATTTATGGCCCTAAAAATTATAATGTGCATTTGGACTGCTGCTGATTAACAGGCTTCTCTGTCCTTGGTACTTTTTCAAAATTTTCTGGGAGAAAATAGTGGCCCCCAAGAAAACCCTATGGACTACTATGGACCTATCCAGTTTATATTTAACTATTAACTGTTAATTGTTACGGTAACTAATTGCCATAATTTGTGCTGAAGTTAATTTCAGGGCCTTTAATTCGACATATCAAATATACTCTGGTCAAAGTCGTTTCGCTGGAAAACTAAAACTGCTGGGCATGTGTTTTTGTCACAATAAGATGTTTCTGTATAAATCTGTAAATGTGTTACTTTTTCTGTCCCATTTAGTTATTGTAGTATCTTGTATCTCCATAAGGTCCTGTCTTGAGACGTATCTTTTCAAGGCTGAAGAACTCTACTTTATCTTGTTCCTCATGGCTGATCCCGCTACACACTGGGAATTATTCTCGTTGCTCTGCTATGCACTACCTCTAGTGTCCGGACGACTAAATATGAACGTGATTGAATTATGTGCAGTATAATTAATTCACTAGCTGCAGAACTTGATATCAGTGCCATTCTGTTTCAATACAGTATGTATGTATTTTGCAGCTGCAGTATTGCTGATGGAGTTAATAGGTTTAATGTCATTGAGCAAAAAGAAAAGGCTAGATTAAAGATCTACACCTTACTAAACTGAAGGTCCTTTTTAGCTGGTGAGCCTAAGGATTTAGTGAAAGACGGGTAATTTCTCTGTGCCAACTCTGCAGATTAGCAGGGTTGGCATTTATAATATTATTAACTTGTGAGATGGAGAAAGATGTATTGAAATCCTCCTCCATCTTACCCGATGGACGGATTTAGAACAATATCCGGGCATCTTTCATGAACTTATACATCAGATGTTGTTAAGAGTTTTTTCTTCTGAGAAGACGTATAGAAGATAGTTATATCTACAAATAAGAAAGCTAATGGAGTTTGGTTTCAACCTGAAGCTCGACAAATGTTTGTAGTCCTAAATATAAATAATATCATGTCTCTGTATGAACATAGCTAAACCTTATTGTATGCATTACATAAAACAAACTGTGTTACAGCAGAATGAAAATGTACGCAAAAGATTAAGTTGTTATCGAGGTAGAATGGAATACTGTGAGGTGTTCTCAACTGATCTTGTGCATCCATATAAACTTCACTAATTTCTAAACTCTTTTGCTAATGCTGCATGGTTGGCTTGTCAATCAATTAGGACCTTTCATTGGGATACTGATCCTTCAGTTCTGCAGCTTCAAGCTGATTCTGATCTTGGGTATAACTAACTTTACCATCTACTCTATTCTACATTTTCAACATAGTCTTTTATTAGTTGGTAACAATTTTTATTTCTGAATTTCTTATGTTAACTTGTGGAGAAAATCAAGATAAAAGTTCTTTACAATTGTTTTTGATGTTCTTGTGCTTATTCTTTATATGTGCGTTTCCTCTTGAATTATTTCATTTGAAATTTAAGTGTAGTCATTTTAGTATTAAATATCTATGTGATCTTTTTAATTTATTAATTTATCGTTATTATTACATTATTCATATATATTCTATGTTTTCCCTTCCATTGCTTAAAGACGAGCGGTTAAACTGGGGATGGCAAAAATCATGCAAGTAGATTTCCCTCCACGAGAGATTGTGACGTATACAAAGGAAACTCAGACACCAGTGGCTGCACAGACAACTGAAGGTAAACTAAACTGCCTTTTGCATAAGACATGAACTTTTACTCAAACCAATATGATTTTGAAAATGTCTAACATAGGGGAAAAAAAGTGAATGATACTTTTAAATATAATCAATATTTTTTGTGCATTTAAATTATACCAATTGCAAATAGTTTGATATTGTCAAATTGCACTTCAGACCTGATTCTTATTTGCTGTTGTTATGGTATATATTTAAAAGAAAAGTCAGTACCACAGGAGCATCATTTTGTAAATGCATTTTAAGGAAATATTTATTTCAGTGCATAACATCAACATTTGATCTATATTTTACAAAAATACCAAGGGCATGATATTATTGGAAGAAGTAGTAGACTTTTTCTTTAATTAGAATGTTTTCTTTTAAATAAAGCATTCATCCTTTTTTTAATAGATTGGTAATTATATATTACGTAAGCAAAGAACATTTGAAATAATTGCCTCTGTAAAGTAAACTGCAGCTATAAAACATCTGCTATACAAAATATTATTTGCTTCTCAGAGCAAATAATGGAGATGTATTGATCTCTCACTTGTTAAGTGCAGGCCAGACAGATGTTGCAGCCTTTTAGTATAATTTCTAAAATCCAGTGGGGTTCTTTTGATCATAACTACAACATTTTTATTCCATTGAAGTGAATTGAGAAAATTAAATGCGATAGCTGAAAAAGTGTTGAGTTTCCTTTTCGCTCTGTGACTAACAGTGCTGGCTAAGGATATTTCATGAAATGGTGAGAACGAAGGGAAATGTGGGGAAAAAATCATTTCCACAAAAATACTTATTGATTCACTGAGCGAATAACTCTAGCTTGACCTGTCTGGTAAAACATGTGGACTGGAGTCGATTACATAATATATTAATCCAGGAGCAAAATTGAGCATTGTTTAAATCTGTGAAACACACTCCAGTATGTGCTATTGTATTTTATGTGAATACAGGTGGAGTTGATAGGAATTATTTTGTTCCATGTTTATCTAATTTTTGTGCTGAGCAAAAATAGACCTCAATCTCCCATAATTTGCATCATAATTTCAATTCATAAATTGATTTGAACTGCAGTATGTTAGGGAGAAGGGATTAGTGGGGTAGGGGAGGGGGTATGAGCAGGGGATGGAGATTCATGTGGAGTATAAACACTAGCAAGGAATCGTTGGGATGAATGGATTCTTTCTGAACTGCACAATTTATGTAATTCTATATATGTTATTAATTATTAATAGAAAATGGCATGCTTTGTAAATATTATTACAGATTAAAGAATTGAACATTTTTTTATTGAAAAGGCAACAGAAAGTGTCTGACAATTATACATTAGACTTCTGAACATCTGTTCTTCATTTGAATAGTCCAGATTTTTAGAAAATTGATGTTCAAAATATTTGTTCTGTACTTGTTAAGGAGTTGGAGTGAAAATATGAACTTGGTGCTGAAAAGTTTTCCTTAATTTTTAAAACTATTATAGAAGCTTGACAAAATAATTTCCATCTGGTCAAACTATACTGTACAAGTATACTTATTTGAGACAAAGTAAATCAGACAAAATAAACAATTCCAGCCATCAACAGCCTTAACCACAGTTTAATAGAGTAATCTTCAGGGAGAACAGAAACTAGATTAACATATCAAACAGGCTTGACTGCCTCATAAATCCTCAATGTAAGAAGATGAAAAAAAATTGCAATTTGATTTGCACTTTTTAACATAACTTTCTCAGCAATGCTGCTAATAATTATTCAGAGAGTGGTTTGAAAACATCAACAACTTGCATTTATTTAGCGCCCTTCGTGCAATACAGTGTTTATAGCAGCAATTTAGTGCTTATTAGAATGGATTGATTTTATCTTCAGCAATGGATTTTGCACTGTAGTATTTAATATAAATTCCTATATTCATGGAACATCTTTACAAAGTGTGTGTTGTAATTCATACAATCTTTTCACTTTGGGAAACATTTACTGATGAATCTTAGTTTTCCCATTAGTCTTTTTTGAATGTTAGCAGCGACTTGGCAGAGGTTCATGACAGGCGTGAAAAGGTAATTATACCAGTGTTGTAAAGTGCTCCAAACTATCTGGTCAGCTCAGTTGTTTCACTCCACTATCTAGCTGTAATGGATGTTCATATAGGAAAGGCACAAAGAAGTTATTTGAACAGATATTAACACAAACCTAGGACACGTTTAGGAGGTAGCACTTACAATTCACAGTAGAACTCTTTGCATTTCCCTTTAATTGAATACCCAGTGTAATATATTGAGAAACGTATCCAGAGTTGGTTAAATAAAGCCATTCAACATGACTAATAAATGAGTTTCACTATAAGAGTTTATATTCCCCTGTTACCTCATCCCCACAAACCAAATATTATTTCGGGATGACCCGTGTTGGAACCAAGTGGGACCATTATAAATACAAAAATACACAGCATGCAAACAAACCATAGAGCAAAAAAAGGTCATTTAATCTATCAAGTTGTTCTCTCCGTAGATCACCTCACACAGAACCTAAAGTACCATGGACTAATTTACCACACCCTTAATTTACCTTATTTTATTACCATATATAATATATACACAGTGCAAACTAGAATTAGGCATTACAGTATGAATACTTAAAAGTCATGACAATTTACAGTAAAGTAAATACAGTACAGTAAATATTTCTCTTATGCATTGATGCCCAAAGAAAATTGCTTGAAGGTGTCGGACAGATTTGCATGTGAATTATATTTTAAAAATTGCCAGTGTGCTGGGATCAGAAAGGTTAAGATTGAATTTGCATATTCATTCAAATTGTAGCATCCACCTGCAGCTGAAATGTGTATTCTTTAAGCTGATCGGCAAATATGATTTTAAAAGTTTTGAATTTTCATTACCATTTTAATGACTTGCTGCTTACTAAATAATTTGATGTCACAAAAATGTCTGGTTAACCCTCCAAGTGTCCCTTTGTACATAAGAAACAAAATGCACGAGTCAAAATGCCTTGTATGCCTGGAAGGATACAAACACTCCCAAGTTAACAGAACACAGCCATTTCACAGATGATTTAACTTTGATTAACCTGCTCCATAGAAGCACATCATCCAGACAACTGTAACTTCACTTGTGTTGTTATTGCTAGGTACAGCCTAATTTAAGGCAATGCTTTTCTTTCCACCTCAACAAAATACATTACAATTTTGATGTTAAGACAGAGTAAAAACTCAGTGGTTCATTAACCTTGTGTTCAGTGTTCATTGACAAGAGTTGGTCACTTTTGCAGTAACTGCTACTTTACTGCAGTCTTTATTGTACAGTCTGCTGGAGTGATATCTATTGATGAAAGCCAGACTGCAGTAAGCCTGAAAGCACATGGCATATAAAAAAATGATAGTATAGCACACAGCTGCTTTCATGATGTCTGTATTCTTGTGCCCTAAATGTGTTCAGTTTGCTATTAGAGGGGGAAGGGAAACAATTTTCTTTAAACGACATGAAATAAAATCCCTTGTGCTTTTTCTTATAACAATTGAGAATTGGGAAGTGATCACCAAAGGCTTAATCCATCCATATTTGAAGTGTTTTGTCTCTTAATACTAAGCATTTCATTCGAGCCTTAATATTCTGATAATGGATCAATAAATTGACTGCATGCAGGCTTCTGATGAATTCATTCATATTGTACTCGAGTTAGAAAATGGAAGAATTCAGAATTTGGACAGTTTTATATAGAGAGAGGAAAAAAAACAAATACTGGAAATATGAAATAGAAACAAAACGTAATGAATAACATTCAGCATTTGAATGAGAAACACAGATTAATATTCAGCTATGACTCTGGGACGCTACATAAATTCAAGTTGCTGTTGACTCTTCATTATTATAGCCAACAGAGCTGGTTGTTCTCATGAAGGGTCAGATGACCTTGCTGTTATGTCTGGTTTAGGCTGAGTATATCACAGTAACAAAACTGGTGGTCCTTTCCTTACCAACACACACATTACTCACTAAAGTATTGGGCTTGGATTGTCTTTTGTGCTGTGTGTTTGCAGCTCAATCTATCACGTTCCATACGGTGGCATTGTGAATGCAATGCGATGACATCCTACGTGTTGATAGTCGGGGCCAGCTCGTTTTAGTCCACTTAGTGTGTCGAGACAAAAAGCTAAATTGTTGGGAAGCCAATGGATGCTGGAATCTGCTGGCTGAGGGTGGTGTAACAGGTTGTGTATTTTTGCCTCTGATTGAGACAGTGGTTGGGTGTTGTCCTCATGGGATGCAGATTGACTTCCTGTGTATCTCCAGGATATTCTGCATTTGTCTCTTGTCACATTACGGTATTTTCAGAAACACAACCAAACATAATCTTAGCTAGAACATTTAAAGAGAGCTTATTTTTAACATAGGGTAAGAATAACCATATTATATATTATGTGGCAGAGACTAAGTTATTGTGCTGAAGTGTGTTTATATTCCATCTTGTTTCCAGGTCTACTTTAGGGCTAAATTATTAAAAAGACTAACTGTAGATAGTAAATTACACGTGTTTACTATAAATGTTTTGTTTTCATTGTTTTGAGCGTTGTGCTGCTGTGGATTATGGAGTAATTTATTTCTGAGACTCTTTTAGGAGCTGCAGGAAACTATTGCATTTGTTTTCGGGGTGCATTCTGAATAGCATAAAGAATATTATATCTTGCTTGTCCACTGTATTTTTAACAGAATTTTTGTTTCAGTTATAACTGTGATGGATGTTAGGGATTAGAACATTCTCTTCTTAAATACTGTACCTGGTATCAAATTCTCAAAGAGTTATAATTATTATTTTGCTTTTACTCCCCAATATTTACCTCATGCACAAGTTATTTTCAGAATCAAAATTCCTCACAGTGTTTAGTTGGAGAGCACAAGCGAACAATAGTAATGTTATACTTCCTTCATTCGCCCCCATACACACTCGCTCACACATATAATAGACACAGATACATGCATACACTTAATTGACAGAGCCTATTTTTCGGATAGAGTCTAGAATTCTATTATTTGAGCTATAGAGGTGTCCTTTACATTCTCTTATAATAATACAGCTTTGCCAATATATTTCCTTCCCTGGTAAGTTTATTGATGCTCTCAGTTACCAGCAGTATCACTTCTGGGTTAAAATAACAACTTCTGGGTCAAACACCTCACACCACACCTTGAAGTCACAATTGAACACGATTCTCCAAGGCAGCACTGAGACTGCTTTGGATGAGACAAAAACCCAAGGACTGGATAAATGAAGGTCCAGTCTCCACTACAGACCGGTGTTGAAAATAGGCCACTATTTGTAAAATTGCATGGACTTTGCCCGTGTTCTGCCGATTTTTTTTCCCCCTCCTATTCAAATTCACCCAAAACAAATAGTCCCTCATTTCATTGTACAAAATAGCTGCTGCACTCCCACAATTACGGTAGTCTGCAGCAACTCACTTTATAAACCACTTTGAGGTATATTGATATGATCAGGTTCTATACATGCGACTGCCAGGATGGTGGAAGGCGAACTGGATGGACCTTGGTCTTCTTTCGCCTAGCAAATTCAAAATATGTGCATAATTTTCGTTAACTATCTCAACTATGCTCCTGCATTATTTTTGGTAGCATAAGAAAAAGCTTCTATTGACAGGCGTGGTTTGAAAAAGTCACTGATCATTTTATAAAAGGACTAGCTAATCCTGAAAATTACAACTCTAGGTGAGATTAAGTAAGATTTAGGACTTCCTGTCGAGTATATTGTTCAATCATCAGATACAGCTGTATTCTATCCCTTGTTTTAACGTGACTTTCTGCATCTCCTGGTTTTGATTTAAAATATGGTTATTACAGTATCAAGCTTTTGGTCTTGGGGAAAATGTTCATTTCAAAATCATTTAGTGTAAAGGTTTTGGATTTGATGATTGTATGTAAAACTGTCAACAGAGTGACATGGGGGGTAGGTACACCTGCAGAGATTATTTCAATCTTGGGTGTCACGTTTTTGGTTTTGTACTTGAACAAAGTTGGACCCCTACTGTCAGACTGCTTTCAGATTAATAGATTGTCCAGTGTATAAGTGATTTCTGTGAAAGGATGTACGTCTTCTGTGTCTCAGTGTGATTATTTTTTGAAAAAAAAGCTTTTATTTTTTAAGTAGCACAAAAGCTATAATTGGCATGCTTTGTAAGGAAGTGTCAGTGTGTGAGAGATCGGAATCACTATGAATTCTTTTTAAGCATTTCTTCCCCTTTGCACCACCGCCTCCTCAGTGAGGTCATGGAGATCACTAGCTTCTCCTGAAATGGCCATTTTTGCTGGCAGGTGCATTATACCCTGTGTTTTCAGATTGTTTTTCCATTCTGAATGGATGGCAGGTTGATTGCTCTGGCTGCATTCTTAGAGAAAGGGCTGACAAATGCTGCAGAGCTTGCTCAAAAGACAGTGATTACTGTTTTCCTTTGCAGCTGATTGAAGCCCTTGAAAGGAAAGATTTTAACTTCCCCATTTGGGTTTGAAAGTGTGAGCATATCTGCAGGATATTGAAATTGTTCATGTTATTAACCCATTTCTGTAAACTTGTCAAAATGGTAGGCACATTCAATTTGCATCTAATGTTAAATTTGCACATATGATTATCATTTTGATAAAGCACAAGTTAACATCATAGTGTGCATTTCACTGTTACTTCTCTCTGTCCTGTTACTTGCAGGTTTAATTATATTTCTATTGTCTGCCTAAATGTGTGTGTGTGTATGTGTTGTAAAGGGTATGAAAATGTAGCCATGGTTAGTGTGGTTTGGCAGCTGTTGTGGCCTACAAGATGTATTTTATTCAGCCTTCAGGCTGAATCCTTGCCTTTAACCCCCCTGGTGGGCCAATAATTACACAGTCTTGCTGTCGGGGAAGACATGATTGGAGGCAGTCGAGCGGAAAAGTTTGTGCCATCCCAATGCCACCTTGTAGTGGGGAACACAATCGCAGCAGTACCATCTGTTCTTTGTTGTCTAGTCATCTGGCCTGGCTGATGAGACCTGGTCTAGACAGCTGCTTCCCATCCTCGGACCAGCCGAGCTCATGTGGTCGAACAGCTTACAGCACCCAGCGAACAGGCGCTGACCTAACAGACCAGCAGCTTCCCCCAAATCCGAACTCGCATTCAGTCTCTGAAGTGAAAGGGCAAAGGGAAGCTTCCTGCTGTCATGTTCCTTTAGACGGACGACCTATCATTTAAATCAAAAGCAGTAGCTGTGTACAACATGACCTCAGGGAGAGGAACAAAGAAAAAAAACCAACAAGAATCAGGCCACTGATAGAGACTTAGAATATTTAAATTTTCAGGCGTAAACCATATGAATTGAATTACAAATTATTAATGCTACAAATTAGTTACGTGAAGGGAAGAAACAAAGTTAAAACCAGTATCTGGAATACTTTCTTGAGACAGATTTTAAAAAAATATTTATTTTCTTCCCTTCCCCCATTTAAAAAATGACTGCCCTCGTAAATGCCATCCTTTATGATTGAATAGGTCCTCTTTGTTAGTCAGTGGTCTTGTGCTTCAGCAATGCTGGAGGGATGCTTTGCTACAGTTCCCTTCCTCCAAATGACCAGACCAATACTGGAAACTTAAATCCTAAAGCAACGAAGAAAGTATTAGGTTCAACTCTCAAGCTTCTCTCTTGTTTGAGGTTGATGTCACTGTTGTATGTTGCCGAAACTAAATGCTAAATCGTCTTAATTGCAGGTTATATACATGTTGTCGATTAAGCCTTGGGAAACTGGGTGTTCTTTTCAGCTTTAAAATCCAGATTTGTTTATTATTGTTGTTTTGTTTTCCTTTCAATATGATCAGATATTTTAGTGGGTAGATGGTTTGAAGTTGAATTGTGGAAATGTACACAGAATCGCAGAAATATTGTGATGGCCTGTTCAATAGTCTCCACAGGTCCTCCAAACACAAGCTGCAGACCCTATAGAACTCTGCTACCCCTGTCGTCTCCCATGTAAGCCTCAGTCTGATCAGGACCATCACCCCGATTCTTGCTTGGCTCCACCGACTGACTCCCTATTCCCCCAGTGGATTGAATTCAAGATTTTCATCCTTACTTTCACATCTCCCCCACAGCCTTGCACAACTCTTCCTCTGCGACCTCCTACCCTGGGCACTCCCTCCACTTGGCAAATGTTAATTGCTTCTCCTATGCCCCACAATGTGAGCTATCAGTCATCCTGTCCCCGCTCTCTGGAACTCCATTCCTTGCATCTTGCCAGCTGTCAACCCATCTTATGACCTATTTTTGTGACTACACTTTAGGTGACCATTATTCCAACCTTCCCACCTCCATCTTTCCCCTTAGTTTAGGCTTTGTGAAATACTTTGAAACACACCTCTTGACGTGAAAGGCGCTATTTAGATGTAAGTTGTTGTACCATTGTACTAAGGTGCGTGCGCCTACAAAATATACAGTCACTACACTCCTACAGGAAATCCTGTGACGCTCTTTGAAATGTTTTGAAGATTTAATAAGGAGCTTTATCAGCATTGTTGTTCTTATGTTCCGGCTAAGTATTGAATGAACTAGAAAGCTATTAATATGCCAATGCCTCGCTTTATAGTTATGTCGAGTAGAAATTATGGCAATGCCATTTTCAAGACGAAGATATTAGTTGTTTCTTCATCGCCTTGACATTGATGGTCTGAAGGTTGTAACCGCCAAGTGCTTCTTCAGACAGCTGTAAAATATAGCTTTTCTTCATCTTGCCAGAGTAGGGTTTTTTTCTTTACATGATCACAGGTGAACAGCTTCTGAAAGAGCAAAATTACGATGAAAATTTCAGAAAGAATGTGGAAATGTAGAGTTATGGTGGTTTAAAGTGTTTCTACAGCATTAAGTTTTACAAATGGTCATTTGCAGAAGAAAATGAAGAGCAAGAGGAAATTGCAGCACCTAAAGCCGCAGTTGAACCTGAACAAGAGAAACTAGTACAGAAAGAAGAAGATAAAGAAGGTAATTTGTATAGAAATCCTTTCTGAAGCATTGCTATTGAAAAATTTAAATCTGCTTTATTTAAATGCACGTTTCATGCATTCACTTAACATTCTCAAAGAACAGTAAACCATGAACAATGTACCTTTTTGAGTCGTAACTAGGCAAGCTAACTACTAGGGACTGTATAGAACCGTTCTTAATATTTTAAGTCACTAGCTTACTCACTCCAGTGTCTCGCATTACATTTTCTTGAAATATAATGAATTGCACAAAACTGTAGAATTGCATAATTTAATTTTCAGTTTTCTCAGTGAAAAAGGTAAACCTCAGTATTGTTTTTAGAGGAAAGATTCTTAATTCTCAACCAGTGCATTACGTCAGTCATAAGATTTTTTTTGTGTGTAAATCTGCTCAAATTGAATTTAATTTATAATCTGTCATTGGCATTGCAAATGATTATTTGAGAAGGTTTTTTTGAAGCAATATCTGAGAAGGAGCCATGTTCCTTTTCAATTTCTTCCCTCCTGTTAAGATAATGATTTATGATCTTGTGTTGTTCAGTGGGAGTTGGTAACTCAGTCATTCTTCCTATGTGTAACTAAGCTGTGAGGGTCAAAGGCTATTTAACTGTGAGGGGCATCTGAACCAAGTCCAAATCTGTCCTTCTCCACTGTACGCTCCTCTGCAGTGTTTCAGCACAAGTCCCAGGTCCATGATCAAGAGTGAGAGAGGCATATTGGTATATTTTTCTCCACCCTCACTCGGAGACACGAACTGCTGCTCGCTCCAGTGGAGTTCTGCTAACAGCACAGACGAGCCACCAAACCCCGGGACCTTCTGTTCTGTAGTGTTTCTGTGCCTCGCCATATGGTGCCTTTACCACAATACAGTTTTTGACTTACTGTGTACTTTCATACAAGCAAATAGACATTTTATATCTGTTTTATATCTATATCAAGTTTTATATTGTTCTTTACTTTTGAAAATTCTTAAATAGATGATTAAATATATGAGGTACACTGAGAATAATAAGGCTGTACAGTAATAAGGCCTGATATTTTCATTTAGTTTTATTTCATTAGCCTTGCTCGCATTTCTTATTCAACAGGTGCAGCACGGGAACTCTCGGAAGAAGAAAAACTACAAATTATTCACTCTGATGAATTTGCCATCTTCTTTGATCATAGCACCCGAATAATTGAACGGGCTCTTGCGGAACACAAAGACTTGTTCTTTGACTACAGTGGCAAGGATTTAGAAGAGAAAGAAGGGTAATGTTTAGAGCTCTTTACTATTAAAAATTCTTAAAAACAAATAAGAAAAGCAACGACAGTAAACCCTCATCATACCGGGCGTCCGGAATTCGAAGCTAGCTGGATTCCACAGGCCCACTGACTCCCGACTCCTAACTCTCCTAGGAATATAATAGGAATCTCAGCAGTAAAAGATTCATAAATTCTGTCCTGTTTCCCCCCCCCCCCCCCACCCATTAGTCCAGCTAGCCAGGGTTTAAGTGTATGTATTATTGACCTATTGACCTGTATCTTTCTTAACAGAGAACTCCAGGGAGGAACAAAACTTTCTCTGAATAGGTCTTTTTTTGATGAGCGCTGGTCAAAACATCGTGTTGTTACATGCATGGATTGGTCACCTCAGGTAATAGAAGAACTCTTAATTTCTACGATGGAGCAAAAGGCAACTTGCTTATGACGTGTTTATTTTCAGAGCCCAGCCCATGAAACCACCTTGAGCTCTATAAAAGGGGGACAAATTTCACAGAAACTCATCTGGTATAAATACGTACTAGTACATGAAGAAGTGATCCGGGGTTGAGGAAAAATCAACCTAACTTTTTCACCATACACAGGTTATACGATCTTCCTCAGCAATGAAATGTTCAGTAGCAGTCGGTCCATCATGGCCTATTACACAGCCTCTAAGTGAGACTTTCATTCTTCTTGATTTCACAGCAGTACTTTTGTTACTTGTTCTTCAGGGCTGCTGCTGTAACGTCAGGGGAATCAAGAATAAATGTAAAACCTATTATACTAATACCTTCTGGATTTGATTTGAAGCTGTGTGAGTTATCATGGTTTAAGTAGAACCAGTGTCATTTTCATTAGCACTAGGCTTCACCTAATGCTCAAACGCATAGTAAATCCTCTCCATCTCATTCTGTGTTACCTTAAATAAATGTGCGTCACATCACATAATACAATTCAGTTAATGTTCTTACCATCAACCAAAGCTGTCCTTCAGTCATGGGTAAGTGATTTAAAATGCCACTGAGAAGGCTAATAAGAATGCTGGATAAATGCTGAATTATGTAGACAGTGTTCATAAATGCTGGCGTCCTGAAGTTTGTAGTTTGACGTGTTGGAGGTCCATATTTTCCTTTTGTAACTTCTGGCCATGGGCATCTGTCACCCCAAAAATCCTCGATAATTGATCTTCATAAAGAGTCTTTGCGAAGGCTCCTCTGGGTTACGTTAGCAGGTTCCTGAAGTGTCCTCCTTAGATATCCGTAGCAGTTTGTTTATGATGTGTTTATTTTCAGATCCCAGATTCTGAAACCCATCTTGAGCTCCACTCTCAGTCGTCTCTTAAAATGGCCAGTGTGTTTGATCAGAGGCTGAAAATTAACCTATTGGTCAAGGGAACAACTATTTAAATAACCATAGACTGGAGTTTTATGACAAATTGGATGAGTAGATTGACTATTAATTTCCTCTTGCCTGAATTTGTTACTGTTTTGTAACGACGAACATTGTGATTCTGTAGTTATTGTTCAATTGCACGTTGCCTTCACTCAGCCATCAATGACCTGCTTCATGTCACTATCCGTCCTATCATCGACAGGTGGGCTTTTAACCGTTCTGCCATTCATCTCTGGAACTCCATCACGGAGTCTCTCCGACTGTCTCCCTCCCTCCCCTTGTTCATGATTTGGTCATTTCATTCTCTCCTCATCCACTTCGGCTCTCACCCCCAGCAGTGCCCAGCCAAGTGCTGTAAGATATCCTCCTGACTTGAAAACCATTATATAAATGTATACGGTATTGGTTGTATGTGCTGAGTCATGTATGAAACTTTTTCCATTGCCTCACCAATGTTGAGAGGGTAATATAATCACAATTTCTCTTTTTTTTTTTGCTGTTTCACTTTCAACACTACACTCTAAATAAGACATTGATTGTGAATATTGGTTGCGAATATTGGAATTTATGATGTACAAAACCCGTAGCGAATCCTGTGCTTTGTGACAGTTAATACATCTGTATTAAGTCTTTACATTCTCACAACTCACGGCCACAGCTTACTCTCTGGACTATTACATGTGATCAGTAAATTGAATTCACCGAACCAGGCACAGTATTAAAGACATTTTTCAAATACCCTATTTTTTACCTTTTTTATAATGATTTGTAACATTGTATACTGAACTCTTGGGTGCCATATCCAAACTGAACATACCACTTTGATTTTTAAAAAAAAAAAAGATATTTGATGCAACCAGGCAACCATTTTTATTACGAGGTAATACTTTTATGTCAACAGTGTCACTGCATAAAGTAATGCTAAATCTTTGCTTGTCAAAGCACACAACAGAACGTGAATCAAATCTAACACACATGCTTTTGTGTTCACTCACTGCTTTGCGAGCAGTTCAGACCAACATCTGTTTGAACTGGTGAGTGACGCACAGCTAAACATTTCGCTGCCACACACAATGGTACGGTTAAGCCTGAGGCGGTCAGCATTTCCTGTTAATATTTCTTTTCTGATTTTGTTGTCAACAGTATCCAGAACTGCTTGTTGCCTCATACAATAACAAAGAAGATGCCCCCCATGAGCCAGATGGTGTAGCTCTTGTGTGGAACATGAAATTTAAGAAACCCACCCCAGAGTACATCTTCCAATGCCAGGTATAGGTATTGCATGAGATCCTGATGAGCTAAACCAGCATTTCCATCTCAAGAACTGGAGCATAGCCAATGAATATCTAATGCTCAACATCATGATCTCATTAGGCTAGCATGCACATTGGTTTACCAGTTGATGGGGGCAGTAAAAGTTTTTCCTTGATTAAGGGTTGCTTCTCTGCATTGCTAAAAGTTATTGTATTAATCTCTTGTATGGATGAAAATGCTTTAAATTGATCTGTGTATTAACTGAATCCGGGACTACACAATGTTTCCAACATTGTTAGTGCCCCAAATATGAAATGAATAAGTGTGTGACACCCAAATCTTTATTTCAGTACAAAATGTTAAATGCAACAAATGGTGTTTACGATAAATTTTTCAGTTTGCTTTATACTAAATTCTAGATCTGTATAAAACACAATTTTTAACATCTATACAGCAATGTTAAAGTACAACCGGGATTGAAGGAAGGATTGTAGTTAGCCTGAAGGCAAGTTTCTCATGTTACATGCTAAACATAGTTTAAGGTTCCATCAGCCATTGAATGCTTGCCAAATAGACACATTAAATCTATCCAGAGAAAATTTCAAGCACACTATTTTTTAAAAACTCACAGAGGGATTGGGGAATACATCTTCTACCTCATTATACTGTTTAATTCTTTTGTGAGTTTGCCTATTATGTTTTTCATCCACTCCATATGCCCAACTACATCCAAGTAAGCAAGTCCTCACTTCCAGTTTCTCTCTGAACTAACTACTTTCAAAAATGTCTCTCCTTCGGATCACTGCAGTGGAGGCTAGTATGCAGTAAATCGATTTGGAGTGCATATTTAGTATTCCGTTGAGGAACATCACTTCATAATTTGGAAAAATTCTGATTTCTTTTTCCAACAATAGAGAAATTCAAGGACAATTTTGCATTCTTTTGTTGGAGGTGTTGAATGGCAAAGCTTCCGATGTAGCAATCTTACTGACTGACAAATGCAAATCTAGGGTGTGAAATATTTAGGTACATGTTTGCTATGAATGTGTTTGGCCATTTAAATGAATATTATGCTTTATTGTGTAGAAATAGACGGGAAAGTCTGTTTAAGACTCACTTGAGAGGTAATCTGTATAATTAAACATAACTCTAATTAGAAGAGATAGACAAAATAGCCGGATGAACCCTAGGTGGGAGTGCAAACAGTCTAATTAAAAATTGCCTTCACTTTGTTTTTTTTAAACAGTCATCTGTGATGTCAGTGTCCTTTGCACGGTTCCATCCAAACCTAGTAGTTGGAGGAACCTGCTCTGGTCAGATTGTCCTGTGGGATAATCGCAGCAACAAGAGGACACCAGTGCAAAGAACCCCACTCTCTGCTGCTGCTCACACGGTATGTGTAGGAAGGCTTAAGATGAAACACAGCCTTAAGATTCTTGTATTATTTTTATATTCTTATTACAATATATTCGTTGAGCACTTTGAGACGTCTCAACGACGTGATGAGGCACTCTTATCAAATGTAAGGATTATTATTGTAAGATCAATGCAGTTTTGAAACCATTACATTTATCATAGAATCATAGAATCGTACAGCACAAAAAGAGGCCATTCGGCCCATCGAGTTTGTGCTGGCTCTTTGAATAGAGCAATTAATGTCAATCCCACTCCCCAGCCTTTTCCCCATAACCCTGCAAACCCGTTCTCCTCAAATACCCGTCCACCGCGTTTTTAAAAGTAGTTATCGAATTGTCCTCGACCGCCCTTTCACCCTTTTATTTATAAAGTGCCTTTAATGATTATTATTTCTGTGTAGATATTTCTGCATTAATTTGCTTTATCAGATGAGTAAAAGTATTAAACATGAACTTTCATCTTTCTGCAGCATCCAGTGTACTGTGTGAATGTGGTTGGCTCTCAAAATGCTCATAACTTGATCAGTGTTTCTACTGATGGCAAGATCTGCTCGTGGAGTCTGGATATGCTTTCTCAACCACAGGTAATATAAACGGGTACCTAAGATTTTTTGTTGTATCCGATGTAGCACTTGAATTGGAAAATTGCAGTACACCTAAGGAAAAATAAATGATCTTACGCTATTTTGGTAACTTAATTTGCACGTCTTGAAATTGTGTATTTATTGATGTTGCAGATATTGCTGAAGAAATACAAGATGTATTATGTATTGAATTAGAGAACAGCACTGTATATCAATGCACAAGAAACAGACCCTCCCCGATATTTCAACTCGTACTGCCCGCTATCTCCCTGGACCTTACTACCCTAGATCAGAAATGGATAGTGAGGAAATTGCAAGCAGACCCATGTTACGCCTGTGGCGTAGCATATTAGAACTTAATGTACTCTGAATACAATCAACGTTGTGCTATTTTATTATCACGTGAAATATTTCATTAAGATATACAATGTTCACAGTTATGGTATTGTGTTTTATTCAGGACAGCATTGAGTTGATGCACAAGCAGTCTAAGGCTGTTGCTGTCACTTGCATGTCCTTCCCATTGGGTGACGTGAACAACTTTGTGGTTGGTAGTGAGGAAGGCTCTGTTTACACGGCCTGTCGTCATGGAAGGTATTGGAGAAAATACTTACTTTTATTATGTTCATTATTATTTCACTTACCCCCCCCCCCAAAAAAAAAGTGGTTGGTTATTCTATTTGCAAATGTCTGTAAAAATAGTGTGTTGTCAGGAATTTGGATTAGAAAATGTTAGAAAAGATGGTGTTGGGCAGTGTCAAAGTTGTAATGTAAAAGGTTTTAAGTTATTTCTGTCTCTTTGAGGACAGAATCAACACTCGGAAGCTAATGGACAGATTAAATCATCAAAATGTGGTATTTCAGCCTTTCTCCTTCACTCAGCAGTATGAAACTGTGGGGATTATTTTTATTGCTGTTGGGTTTTAGAATTCCTTCCGCCCCAAATCTTCTCCCCCAGAAAGAAACACTGAAAAGTTTGATCTCCCGGTCTGTAAACTGACAAGTTAATTATTTTAAGTCTCATTCTGGTTCAGGCTGACTTTCAGCAAACAGGGAATCTCCTGACCTGGAAACAACCTGTTCTCAGTACAGGGAGAGCACTTGTGCATTTAATTCTCATTTTACCAAGATGTGCTTTTAAACTACACGTGTGATAGTAATTTACAAGCTTTTAAGATTTAGGTTGCACTTGACACCGATACTCGCGGATTTGGACGGAAATATATAAGTTGCACTTTAATGTGTCTTATCACACCCAAACATCTCAGTGCTACACAGGTAATTACTGTTAAGTGTAGTGACTGTTTTTGTAGGGTTATTTGGTTTTTTGGGGGGGAAGATTAGTTAAATTGTAAGTAATGTCTACAACGTATAGCAGAGGCAGTTTGCATAATCACCATTCTTTCTGTTGCAGCAAAGCTGGCATTAGTGAGATATTTGATGGTCATCAAGGACCAATCACAGGTATCCACTACCATACCGCAGCAGGCCCTGTCGACTTCTCTCACCTCTTCATCACCTCCTCCTTCGATTGGACAGTCAAACTGTGGACCACTAAGGTAGGCTGATCGAAGCTCTCTGGCAGTGGATGTTCTTGCCACCACAGTAGAGCCTCACTGCTTTCTAATGCAATATTTTTCATTGACACAAGATGGTGCTATGGACATACTGCAAGAATTGCAATTGAATAATAATTTACCAGTTGTAATTACTTTTAAAATAATTTTACTTTCAAGATAGATACCATTATGTGTAGCCAGGTACAAAACGCGTTTATTGGAATTGTATCGTTTGAAAATGTTACAGGTTGCCTTTACAGAACTAATTTGCTGAATCCTTAAACTTGGCACTTTTTTTCCAGAACAACAAGCCGTTATATTCGTTTGAAGACAACTCTGATTATGTTTACGATGTCATGTGGTCCCCTACCCACCCTGCCTTGTTTGCTTGCGTTGATGGAATGGGACGCCTTGATTTGTGGAATCTCAACAATGACACAGAAGTAATAATACTTGAATTTGATATACCGTAGACACCTTCTCACCTCGTTGAGATGTCTCAGCATTTCGCAGGATTTTACCGTGAAGTGTAGTGACTGTATTTGTAGGTAAATGTGAGGGCCAGTTTACACAGCAGTATCCCACAGACAGCCATAAAGTAAGTGATCAATTTCAGCTGATTGTGAAACCAGGGACTCTTGACACTTGAGTACCAACCTGGACTATGGGTTCAAAGTTCCCAAGTGAGGCTTGAACCCATAACCTGCGGCTCAGAGGTGAGAATGGACCAGCCCAGCCAGGCTGCCACAGAATATGGGGAAATTGCACTAAGAGTGCAGATTGTTTGAGCAACAGCATTTCAATATTATCATCTTACCTTAGACCAACAAGAAGAAGATTCCATTTATAGAGCGCCTTTCACGTCGGGAGGACGTCCCAAGGCGCTGTACAGTTGGGTCAGGACCCGAGCATTGGGGGGGAGATGGTCAGGGTGAGGGGAGGGGGTAGAGAGTTGAGAGGGGAGCTGAAGGCACGGTCAAAGAGAAAGGTCTTGAGACCAGCCTTGAAGGAGGAAAGGGAGGAGGCGGCGAAGGCATTGGGGGATAGAGTTCCATAGCAAGGTTTAGCTGATTTTTAATGCATTTCTCTCACTTCATAACCTAGGTGCCTACTGCAAGTGTTACAGTTAATAGCAATCCCGCACTGAATCGTGTGAGATGGGCACAGTCTGGAAGAGAAATTGCTGTGGGTGATTCAGAAGGGCAAATACTGATTTATGATGTTGGAGAGGTAAGTAGCTCATTCAAACTTTGTATTCTGTAGCAGAGCAATGGTGTTTTGAGTTTAATTATCAGGAAAACAAATCCGGGAGATTCTAAAGGCTTAGGATCACAAATTGCACAATGTTTATGAAAATGAAAGTGGTTCCTCAGTCTGCATAAAATAACTATTCCGATAATGTGTAATAGACTTCATCTACTCAAACGGCTGTGCCATGAAATTTGACCAACAAATTATGATAAATGTCTATTAAGGTACTGTGGGTTGCAGTAGGGACACAACATAAATGAATAGGATATAAAGTGCTTAACCTTTCATTCTAAATAAATTTATACATTTGACAGTTTCCAATCGGTATAAGCTCACAGGACAAAACTGCTCAAGTCAATAAATACGGCAGTGGAACAAAAAAGCAAACCCAAAGTGCAACTGGATTTCTAGCTATAAATCTCTCGTCAGATGGTTACTCTTGTTTTGCAAGCAGAAGAGACAAGTGCCAAAAAATAAAATTATTGACACAAATTAATTTAAGAGCAAATTTGACCCATTGCTATTAATATGGAGGGAATGTATTGGTTAAGAGGGACCTATCGCATGTCGGCTCAAGTTAGTCTTCTCAGTTCTTTGTAGAGTGGGAAAAAAATAAGGCAGGACATGCCAGGAAGCTTCCATTTGACGCCTGAGCACTAGCTGTAGCCTCGGAGCAGATCATATGCTCATCCTCTCACTCTCGGACTCGAGCTATAGAATTATATTAAATTCCAGGGTAGGATTTTCCACGGTTACATGATAAGGTTGAAAATCTGAAAGATACATTTTCTATCCAGGATTGTAAAATTCGGGCAGAAATGTAGATTTTAAAGTAATTACAAAAAGCTGTTATATGTTGCAGCTAACAGATGTATATTTAACTATAAAAGGAGAAATGTGCCTTTAAATCTATTTACTCATATTTCCAGCTGAAGATGATGGAAGGGATGTAACATATAAAATAAATAATAATGCTTGTCTGTATTTTCCTCTTCACAGCAAATAGCAGTTCCTCGAAATGATGAATGGACACGTTTCGCTCGAACACTTGCAGAAATAAATGCAAACAGAGCTGATGCAGAAGAGGAGTCCCTGGCATGAAAGTAGCTTAAGAGTTCAAAGCAAGGTCTAAATATAGAGTAGGAACTAGAAGCACTTCCATTAAATGTACAGTTCATACAAACCATTCAAAACCTAGATTGGCAACATCTAATTTAATGGCATATGAATCAAGGTGGAACAGACTATTAATTTTATCTCAATAGCAAGCTAAAAAATACTTGGCTTATTTGCTATCAAGGCAACATACACCAATAGTTTTTTAAAAAAAAAATGACTTGTGTGTTAATATTTATTCATATGCCTTTAGAATGATGTTACCATTATGTACACCCCATATGGGGAGGGTAAATAAGAGTACATTTTAAAAAATAAAATTTCTTACATCATGGCAGGGATTATTAAGTGATTGTATTTTATCATCTACCACTGTACAAACTGCACTACTTCTGAACCTGTGGTTTTAAGCCATATTTTATATGCCTTCTGATTTTTTGTAATCGAGTATGAGCCCATTTTTTTTTTCTTCTGGACTAAGAAAATTTGTGAGTGAAATTCCACCCGGGTCAAGATTAAAGTTCTTAAATATGGCTTCAAAATTAAGGCTGTGTTTAAGAATTTGCCAAATTCTTAACTCTGAGATGCTGCGTTAATCCAGTAACTCTAGAACAGGTGGAATTTTACTCCTGTTGTTGAAAAAATCTGCTCCCAGGTCACTGTCACTGTGATATAGCTGCTTGAAGGCATACTGCAGTCTAGGATGTATTCTTTTCTGCTCCAGTCTCACTTAATGTCTTGTTCTGTGACCCCATTCTTAATAACAGTGGTTTAAACAATTTTTCATTTTCAAGTTTTTTTAAAAAATTTCAATCTGATTTTTAACTGAGGTAACCCCCAAAACACAGGCTTCATTTGTATTCCAATTGCTGACTTGTGCTGCTTTGACAGTTTGTAATTCCATGTACTCGGTACTCAAAAGGTTTTCACAATTCCTCACTCATGTTACGCAAACTCTGTGCTTTGAACTTTCACAATTGGTGAAACCATTTTTCTCAAATAGAAACTTTGCTGAAGGGTGTAATACATTTCATTGCAGTTTGTGTTATTGGTTAAGTGTTGCTTAGAGAGTAACATTGACACAACTGTGCTCATAGCCTTTAGAATTTCATACCATGTAACCTGAGCTGTAGTCTACCTTTATTTGTATACAAGTCACCTCGGTATTTTAACCAGTTGTCAAATATTTAAAACTGCTGTGGTGATACTCTGGATAATCTAATGTGGTTTTTATGTGAAGATTGTGTTTATGGTGCCTCTGACCTTAAAATGAATGGCTTTCCATAATGAGTTTAGCTTTTAATGTCTCATTAAGTTTAAACTTACACTTTCTTCCATTTGTACCTTTGAAACACTGGGCAATTTATGAATCAGATCCCTAGCAATTATTGTATCCCCAATTTAATGTAAGTGGTTTTGCTGGTTACATAATTTTGCCTTATAACTTTACCAAGATAACAGAATTCCTTTCGACCATGCTAGGTAGGAAGTAAAATCTAGTACACAATGATTGTCAAGCACAAAAAACAAGTGCAAGATTACATGTAAAACTGAAAATCCATAACCAAATGTTTTAAAGGGCTATTTAAAAAAACATCTTGTGACTTAGATGAACAAAGTTAATGTCAGTTTTACATATACCAAAATAAACAAATACAGGGAAAGAAAACTGGATATTTCATGTGTGTAGTGTCTTCTATGCTGTATGACTAACATTTTGGAATTAATCTGTATGTTGAATCAGTCATATAAATCAATCATAAAATGACAATTTATTTTGTAACTTATTCTTCTAAGTATGTAAATACAAGGATTCCCCCCACTGGTATATAATTAGGCTTGTGGAGACTAGAACCATGAAATACATCACCCATAAATATTAAGCAGAAAATATAAGTGGCTCTCTATGCAGCTTTTAGGTAACTGAATGTTCACACTTATTTCACCTCATAGTCAATCTACTTTACAGTATATCCTGCAAAAGACACTATCAAATATAAGCATTGTTTGATTTGTAGCAAAGTGATCACAAAAATTAATAATTTTAATTTTTGATAAAATCTTCAGCAAATGCACTGAAATGTGAAAGCCAATAATACCAAATATAGTACCTCACTCTTGTCTCTTGTGTAGAGGTTCTGAAAGTGAACATTTCCTCCTAAGACAGCATGTCTGCTGTGAATGGCTTACATACAATTATAATTCACTAGCTGACAATTTCAGACACTAAAATGAACACATCAGAGGTTTATTTTCATAAAGAAATCAATACAATGAAAATTATAACTTTAAAATAGTAAATTCCTCTAATACTTAATTTGGATGACATGATTTAACAAAACCTTTAATCTGTACAGTATTCTTCAGCAACCTTACAACCCAAGCATATTGCAACATAGCATCTGATTTATTTGATCAGTCCTCAATGATGTTTCTATACAGAGATGTACAATATGTACAGATATAAGTGCAAGCTGTGCAAAGCAAATTAAAATAGTTGCCACAGATAAAAAAATAAAGATCATACACATAATAAATTTAGTAGAAATCTGTTAAAGATCAACCATAGTATAGTGGAGTTACCCTTTGTATCTGGGAGCCTTTTCTTTTTAACAGACTTTGACTTATTGAAGCGTAATTCTTACTTGAAAGGCTTTTCCTGCTCGCTCAAACTCAAGAGATCAACAGCATACAAATATAATTGAAGCATATGGGGGGGGGGGGGGGGGGGGATAGAGTGCATCTGCTGGTCACCACTGATTTATAAGAATTTAATTCAGTAAGGATTTCTTTCAACAAAACAAACTATGCCAAACTCGTCTTTAAAGTTAGTTAGTGGATATGACCCACAAAAATCTTCCATCCTGGCATTATACCTGAATAGACCGATTATTTAATCGTTCAATAGATAGGAGGTAATGCTCCTGTAATGCAGCTTTAATGGCAATAGCCAATTAGCACTCATTGATGATTGGTAAATTATAATTGGTAAAAGTCTAAGCAGAGCTTCAAAAACTAATTTGAATCCTACTTTCCAAATAAATATAGCACAAACCTACCAACTTGTTCACTCATCGCTCGTTACTCCTTCAAGTAGGAGTTTCTTTCCAATTCTCCATCTTCTTTTCATAAAGAAATTTGTCAAATTATTGTTGCAGAATTTTAAAATAGATTTTTTGCATTCATGTAAAACCTATTTTACAGCACTCAGGGGGACAGATACATTTGCAATGACCTATTTTTTTTGCACATTTCTGTAATAAAACAGTAAACAGCAACGTATCTCACTCACATGGTTAGCTTTTAAGTTTAGACTTTTTTTGTCAATAAAATAACTTACAAGTTATTGAGCCCCATGCTAGTTTGCACTTTCTGAAGCAGCAAATACTAACAGACCAGGGAACGCAATCTCAAAGTGAAGACTTGTCTGTTTAAAACAAATCTGGTCAACAATGGTAACAATAGCAGCACAACAGAAATATAGCAATAGTCCAATAAAGAATTTGATAGTTTGGATGCACTTCCATTAATATATTTTGAACCGTCTTCTGCAATTTCAATGATTTTAAATTATACATTTTCTAGCTTCAACTAGAATGTTCTTATTTTTGCACATGATCTCTAAAATTGTACAAATAAGATAGATCTGTGACAATTTTCTGCAATGCAAACACTTTAAACATTTAATATTTTTATTACAAAAATTTAGTTAAAGAAATACATGATTTCAATCAAATTTCAACTGACCACCACTACATGCATCTATTACTTGTTTCAACACTGCTCCGTGTTATTGACAGCACCTCGTAACAGACCTTAAGAGGCTGGGGAACCAGCTGATACCTGTGGATGGATTGAAGCTGCATCTGAAGATCTGAATTTAGGCAGATAGAGCCCAAATTTGTTTTCAATGCCGGCAAAAGTAGCCGCAGCTAATTTGTATCCGCCAATATGCTCAGGACTTGCAGGAGGAAGGTTAGCGATCCTAGATTTGGGGGTTGGCTCAGAACCAACTGGCTTGCTGTTGAACAAACATAGAACAAACAAAAAGAGTCAATGGGTTGCTTTGGTGGCGACTCCAAGCCTGGTTTAACAATGTAAACCGGGAAAGAACTCACAAAAATGTCATAAAAACACCTCATTTATGATCGATTCTCATTTGTCAGCACAAAGGAGCTAAAATATTTGATTTTTCGCTAATGCAATGTAGTTTAGAGTAAGTTAATCACCAAAACAATAGCTGAATTCTGTTGAGATATTAAACAAATTAGAATCACAAGGTCTCACTTGTACAATTTTATACAAACAGTGGTTGAAGCAAAATCCATGACAGAATTTAAGAGGGAAATGGACAAATATTTGAAATTAAAAAAACTGAAATCTGCAGGAAAGTTCTTTCAGCGAGAAGGCAAATGAACAGGCAGGGCTGAATGCTCACTATTTGATTTACATCTATAAAAGCCCGTGTTCATGATTTGCAGGTACAGAATCAGAATATTTATTACACTTGTTTATATTAAACCTACCGGAACTAGGTTTCAATTTAGACAAGGTTGATGCGTGAAATTTCTTTCTTGGTTCCAGATTAAGCAAACTATCTATGTGAAATTAGCTTGTGCAATCACAACTCGTGCGCAGTCTTGAATTGTGCAATCTCACCTCAGGTTATACTGGGAGTGAACTCACAGAACGAACTGACAGAATTAGTTGTCAAAAAAGTGAGGAGAATTATAATTGAATGCAAAATAATTTTTCTCATTTAATTTTTTTACATGTTTTCTAATATGGACATTCATGTATGTTTGAGTACAAAATTCACTTTAAAAGAATGTATGGAAATGCTTCTGTTGATGGATGTAAACTACGTTGCAAATGGGCTTGATTCAAGAAGCCTAAAAAGAAAGCAATAGTTCTATGCTCCCAGCTTAATTCAGGGTGAATTCGTTACCAGGAGTTGAATTTACCACGCAGGCTCAACTACATAAAGATAAATATTTTTGAGATACGGCTTCATAAATGCACTTACGATCCCCCAAAATCTACATGGAGCCATCTTTGCAAAAGTTCATAAGTCAGCAAAGTTACACCAAACTGAGGAGAAGACCTGCAAACTCGAGCTGCGGAAAAAAAACATTTAATTGTTTTTTTNGATTTCACATTTGAGCATAATTCACTATTTTTGCTTGTTCTTAATACTGCTGAACTGGTAGCATCTCCATACCTCCTGCCCCTTTCCAGAGCGCTCTGTAACCCTCCTCTCTGAGGATCTTTCTGAAACAGTCAGTAACACCACTATAGGTGGTCTGACCAGCACGAGCTGCTACTTGAAGTCTTGTTTTGATGACGTCTGCAGGAGTTACTAAGGAAGCGGCAGGTACACCTAGAAATTAATGTTACAGTGGATTCAAAAATTAGTACTGTATTCATTGACTTTTCATGTTTTATTGCCAATAATTCATTTACTTTTTTTAATTTGTTATACCATAAGTAAGGTAAATATGCAATGAGGAGGATTTAAGGAACATGCAAATAAGACCACAGCCAGAATTTGTGAATTTTCACCTATTTGGAGAGGGACCAATTAAAGAATCAAAGTCAAACCATTAAACAATTCTGATTGTATTATTTGTTTTATTTCTTATCTTCATTTTGCTCTTTTTAAATAATTTATTTAAGTAATGAGGTTGAAGGAGTATTGGTTATTAGTTTGAAGGAGAAATTTTGCAATAGATGTTTTTGTTTGGTAATAATGGATTCCAGCATGACTAAAATGATGTAATAGAATTATTTAAGTGCATAAGATTCAGAATTGGTGTTTGTCAGTTAGTTAACATTGAGTCATTCTTACCTGCAATAGCACCAGCTGTAAGAAGTTGTAACGGACTCAATATACCATGCTCATCTGTAAAGGCAATCTTTGTATGAGCATATACTGGGAAGTAAATGGCAGAGAAAGGGATGTCACGGAGAAAACAAGCTTTTGCACCCTGCCATGAGTAAACAATGACATAGTTTTAGACAGAAGCAACAACTTTATGCATTCTAGAACATTTTCAGGAATAAGGATTGTTTTACATCCAGATATTGCACTTTCAACAGTTAGCCATCTTCAAAAATACATATTGCACACACACCACATTGGAGCCTATTGGCATCCCATCTCTGTGGCCCAAACACTAATTCGACCTGAACAAAGTCTACTCAAACAGATGTAGACAAAAACTTCAAGGCAACGTTTGAAAATGAGTTGGGGTGTGGAATGCTAGAACTAGTTACAAGAATATTATCTTCAAACTGATGGTTTAGGATGCAGCTGAAGTTGCCAGCTGCTTAATACTGACGATTCTGACTATATCAAAAACGCGGTGCAAAACTAAGAAATTATATCAAGTTTTATTTTGCTGGACTGTTACACAGCAGGTGTTTTTGTCCTATGGGAAACAGCTTCAAAGAAGCTTTTTCCCCTCAAAGAAATTCCTAACAGTGGGGTTTCCAGTTAAAAATTATGATCAGATACAGCTCTGATAACAGGCATGGTGTTTATATCAGTGCTGTATGAATCCTGTCTGCAGCTGTTAGGAGCACTTGGAAGTCGCTTGTACCCCAGCCCTCTCTCAGCAAGTCTGCCACTTTAATCTCCACTGCTTGTTCTTTTTCCAAGCGGGTATCTCACTCTGCAGATTCATGCATTTTCTTGTCTATCCTTTCTGATTCTTACCTCTCAATTGACTTTTATTCTATGGCAGCCAAATGGAAGCTGAGTGAATACTTTTGACATTTGAATTGAACTAACAATTCTACCTCTGCACCGTGTAGCCCAACAATTCACGTACACATGCAACACTTGAGAGTAATGCTGCTAGTACCACTCAATGATTTGTGATCTGCAGAACACAATCTTCCAGTGTGCAACCTTTGTGTAACCAATCTTGCTTCATTATTTTCTCATCTAACCATATGAAGGGGATAGAACTTCTGTAGGATAACTACAAAGAACAGCTAAGTAAAACTTGGCACATTTTAGACCATACATTTCCTCGGTTCTCTTTGGTAAACCGATTTGCGAGCAATGATAAGGCCAGGACAAATGTCAGCACTTGAATACCAAGTCATTCCCTAACGCCTATTTTGATATAGACAACAACAATTTGGATCTTATGATCTTTCATCAATTTGCTAAAAAAATAATGACATTCATGAAAATACATTAAACCCAAATTATGTTTAAGAGTTTAACTTTCTTCAGATAATTCAAACTCAAACAAACTAAATCTACATTGCTCAACCTGATCTTTACAGCCTCACTTACCTTGTATAAGCCCAAAAATCCAAGATCACGCATTACAGAAAGTGCACTGACTCTGGGACCTGTGGTGATCTCTCCTGCAACTTGCAACCGAATTTTCACTATTTCCAGAGGGTTTGTAAAGATTACTTGGGATCCACCAGCCTAATAAGATTAATCAAAGAAAATAATTAAGCAAAATCTTAATATCAATGCTCCAGACATGTCTTTTATGTTCCTGAGTTTTGGTTCCATTGCATAGGCAGAAAAAACCTTTGTACAATTTTTTTTTTTTTCCTATTCCACCAGCAATACAGTATACTTACCAACTGTAACGTACAACTATACACATTAATGACAGTAAGCACAGTGATTCTTAATTATACCATGATCACGTTTCACCATACGAAAAAAAGGATAAAGGAAGGATAAAACTATTGAAACCATTCCACCAAAATGCTGTTGGACAGCCAAAGAAAACTCATGCTATAATCTGTCAGAGAATCTGATTTCACACAATCAGGAAAATCTTTAGTGTACCAAAACTCAGTAAATTTACCAACAAGTGTAATTTTATTCTGCATTTGGTATCCATAAACTATCCTTGTGATGGTCTCGGTAGTCCATTTCCTGAGCCAGGCGGGTCCGCAGCACTCCAGACTCAGTCCACAGTACCGTTAATAGATCTGCTATACTGGCTCATCCACAGGTCTTGGAAGACAAAACTCTTATGGGTAGGGTCGTCCTAGAGAGAAGTTTGTCAGACAGTGCTCTTGATGGCAAACCCTGTGATTAAACTCCAGAAATACCCCAACACGTACTCTGCTGTCCAAAGCCTTGGCTCTTGCCAACCTGCCCCTAATACTCTCTGAAATTAGATAAGCAGGGTGCGTCCCTTCACATTCGATTCTAGACCCAGGAAAATTTCCACATGTTTGTGGCTTTACATATGTGGAATGCTGTCTGGTTTGGATACTCTTAAGCATGGTGATGGGTTTCCATATGTCAGACTGATATCACAAAGTCCCAGATAAACAAATGTCATGTCTTTCTCTTCACACATATCTGGAAGACAATGTCCTAGGGTTAAATTATAAAACACAACTTTTCTTTAAAAAACATAGTTCTATAATTTTGCATTTTCCATATAGATTGGTGAACATTTTCTTGACAGCACATTGCAAAAGAAAGTGCTCAATAAATAGAGAAAACATTACTAATCATCTGTTATGCTTTAAGACGTTAGTATGCTGCTAGCAACACCCCTTTGGCTTGTGAAGAATAATTTTCACATCACATATCCAGACTGAAATTAATTTTATACATTTCAATTTTGTTTGACTAAATAGTATTCAACTTCATCTTTTATATTTGTTGCTCTAGTATTTGGGGTGGGGTGGGGGGTGGGGGGGGAGGTGCCTCTATAGACTGAATCTAAGCTTTAGTTTTAGAAAACAAAGTGTGTTTGGGAGGCATGGACTTGCTGACATTTGTACGCTGACTTCAACTTGAGAACAAATTGCACCAGCATGACTATGCAAGAAAAAAACATGTCCATGTCTTTTTCACATTACTCAATTGCACCTCCTGGGAGTCAATTCTAAGCAGCAACTCAAGTGTCTATAGGTAATGTCCCCCAGCTGACTAAACTGCCTCAAAAACAAGGATACAGGGTGGGAAATCAATGCACAAAATTACACTCATAAATTCTGCTGTCAATTCATATGCTTTACTAATCAATCAAGCTAAAGAAATTCCCTGACAGTATATTATCAATACTATAAATTCAAGGTTCACCACCAAATCCCTAAGGTTTACTAAAATAAGATCTTATGTGGAATACTGTTCCGTCACATTCTGATATCAATATCGATTAGAATTACCTATTTTTTGTTGCAGGATAAAATGTTGAGTCTAAACAATTTTTTTTCAAAACTGAAAAATAAGTTTGTACAGCGCTCTCATTTTGGCTTACACCAGAGTAATTGTTGAGTTATAAATTACACAGTACATGAAATTGCACCTATAAATGTTATGGAGCTCAGTATATTACTGTTAGCCATAGTTATGAGCATTTTTTGGTTGCTTTCAGGCGGTGAAACGTTAATACCACACTTACAGGTGAAACGGGCATAGGCAATCTGTCTTCAACAACAGCAACTTGCATTTATATAGCGTCTCTCACGCATTAGAGGATGACAGCTGGGAACCTTGCCCCTTTTAAGAAATTAACAGCCAGGCGATCTTCCCCATTTAGCTGTACACAGGGCCTCAATCTGGGGCCGCACCCTTATTTCTTTGCCTGGAGAAGATAGGCAAGGCAGCAAGAGAGACTCTGAGATGTTGAGTGGAACAAACAGATGCTGCCCTGCCTGTTGATACAATACTTTCCTTCCCACATGGGTTATGTTACGTTTCACAACACAAGGTAGCTAGAAGGGAATGTACCAGTCAAGGTTCAATGAAGCAATCTCATTTGGATTGGTACCATGGCTTGAACAGGTGGAAGCCACTTTAACAAATATTCCATTATTTAAGGATTAAGGTCCTTAAGTAGTAACTGGGAGGTTGGAAGTTGGGTAGAAGACATCAATGCTCAATGCCCTGCCTTCTCTCTTAAAGAAGAATATCAGTCCTGATTGATCAGCTTTATGGATTGAAACAATTTCTTGTTGGGGCAGAATTCGCTTGGAGTAATTGGGACTGATCAGTTAAGACTACAGTAAGGATGAATCTTCAGGTTGAACCCATTTGTGATTGTTTGGGAACTGGATGTCTCTCTTGCACATATAGAAAGATTAATTTAACAGGGAGAATCAGTCACTTTAAGTCTTGCGCAAAGCTTGGAGCAAGCTTCAGACATTGAGTGGTGGCCAGAGCTTTTTACGGAAAATGCAAGAAACTCAATTATTCAAAGGAAAATCCTCATGAATGCTAGGACTATACAGAAAGCTTGGGACCATGTTGTTAATCAAGAAACTGATTCAATATCATTGCAAATATTTCTGGTACGGGACAGTAGAAAGATTTATTTTGATCTTGGAGGTAAAGAACTAAGGATGCAGCCCAGAACAAGGTCTTATAAACAACAAGATTGCATTTATAGAGCGCCTTTCACTTCGGGAGGACGTCCCAAGGCGCTGGACAGTTGGGTTGGGACCCGAGCAGGGGGGAAATGGTGAGGTGAGGGAAGGGAGGGAGCGAGGAGAGGATAGAGAGTTGAGAGGGGAGGTGAAGGCACGGTTGAAGAGAAAGGACTTGAGATCGGCCTTGGAGGAAAGGGAGAAAGCAAGGCGAAGGCACTGAGGGATGGAGTTCCAGAGCCTAGCGGCTGAGAGGCTGAAAGCCCGGCCACTGATGGTAGGGCGGTTAGGGCGGGGGTTGTGGAGTAGACCGGAACCAGAGGAACGGAGGGTACGGGCAGGTAAGTAGGGGTATAGTAGGTCAGAGAGGTAGGAGGGAGGAAGACCGTGAATGGCCTTGTAGGTGAGGATGAGGTTCTTAAATTCGATCCTCTGGGGGATGGGGAGCCAGTGGAGGCGAGCGAGGGTGGGAGTGATGTGGTCCCGAAGCCTGGTGCGGGACAGTACACGAGCTGCAGAGTTCTGAATGACCTGCAGCTTGTGGAGGGAGGGCCGGGAAGGTCGACGAGGAGAGAGTTCCCGTAGTCCAGCCTTGAGGTGATAAAAGGCGTGGACCAGAGTTTCAGCAGCGTGAGGGATGAGGTAGTGCCGTAGTCTGGCGATGTTCCGGAGGTGGTGGAAGGCGGTGCCAGTTGTGGCGCGGATGTGGGGAAGAAAGGACAACTCAGGGTCGAACAGAACACCGAGGTTCCTGACCGGCTTTGAGAGGTGGAGAGTGCAGCCTCGGATGCTGATGCTGTCAGCGCCTGAGGTGCGGAGGCGCTGACATAAGCCAATCAGAAGGGCCTCAGTTTTGCGCACGTTGAGCTGAAGAAAGTTGTCTCTTGTCCAGGACTCGAGGTCAGACAGGCAGCTGTCAGGACATCGGTGGTCGTGGAGTTGAGGGTAGAGGAGGAAAGGTAGAGTTAGGTGTCATCCGCATACAATAGTTGGAGAAGATCACTTGACTTTTCAGTTTACATATGCATCTTGAAAGAACAATACTCCTGCTGGATTACAGCAGTATTCTATTTGTACATTGAGGCAAAATGAAATAAGAAAGAATAGTAATCGTGTAAACCAGGGTGGGCCAACCTTTTGGCTGCTGAGGGCCAGATGCCCTATTTGAGAAACATCCGTAGGCATCATTAACAATATTTTTACGTTTCCCTTCCAGAAACATAACACTTACAGGTTATGGAGGGACCAGGAAGGCCAGATGAAGTGGGGGGGGGGAAGGGTAATGAAATCGGCCGGTGGGCCACCAGTTGAACCACTCATGTGAAAACTAAAAAGTGAGGGCTCAGGTAAGGCAGAGCAATCAAGCTGAATTATTATAAACGAATGATTCTCATTTCCAGGGTTCTTCTCCAAATTAAAACCTGTGTAAGCTTCTGTGTAAGTTTCTCCAGCCTTGCAAGCAACTGTTATCCTTCTCAGCCGGATTGATGTAACTGGTAAGGTTCATTTAAGCCTGGAGATGGAATGCAAATTCAGGCTGACTTGCAATCAATATACTAGTGTTTCCTACCCCTTCATTTTACCTAGTTTGCATAGATTGTTGCAATATTTACATCTACCGGCTAGGGACTGCAAAAAAAAACCTTTGCCAATGAACACTGAAGATATTACACTTCAGATTTCAATTACTGTAACAAATACTGAACTTGTTTAGATCTTGCCTATTGGCCAAAAAAAATTCCATTTGATTTCAGAAATCCAAACTCCCATAATGCCATAATACAAGCTGATAAAATATAATATGCCGTACTTACACAACCACCAGCAAGGATTTCTGCCATGAGCGGAATTGAGCCATCCTTTTGGTAGAATTTGTCTCTCACAAAATCGTTTACCTATTAAAAAGGCAACAAGAAATAATCATTTACAAAACCCGTCATCATTTGTTTTACATCTCTATCCCCTCTCAACCTTCCCTGTTCCAAAGAAATCAGACCCGACTTCTCAAATTTCTTCTCGTAACTATAGCTCTTCATCCCTGGTATCATTCTGATTAATTTCCACGGCACCCCTCCAAGGTCTTAACATCCTTCTGGAAATGAGGTGCTCAAAACTGAATGCACTACAGTTTTTTGCCCACAAAGCTCTTTGAGATGTCTGTAAGACATGATAAGGCGCTATATCAAATGCAAGTATTATTATTATAGTACTCGAGTCGAGGCCTAACCAATAATTTGAGTCAGAATGCCTTGGATATCATATTATATTCCTTAATCCCAAGTTTCTGTTGCTCAGAATGAGCCTACACATTATCTTGTTCTACCTTTGCCAGGTCTTGTTGAACTGAAGGGTCACATTGCAAGTACAGCATCTCCAAGTTGATAAAAGTTGGTCCCTTCTTGCTACCGTTAGGAGTTATTGACCTAAGTCTTGTCAAATTCCCCTTCAATTTTCTCCAAGGACAAAAATAAGGTAAACTCTGTACTAACTGTAATAGATGTGAATCATGTCAATGCCAATCAGGACTGATCAAGAGAGAAGATATGCCAATGCCATTCCATTATTGGCTCGACCATCTAAATTAGATTAAGGTGTCAAATAAATTCTGCGCTATTAATCGTACAACATCCCTAGAAACTGAAAACAAATTCATGCTCAAGTATCACAAGACATATCCAGAGACACCAGCTGTGAACGGCTGGGAGAGGAAAAATGTTCTTGTACTTGGCCCAAACTTAAAGGCAAGACAAAATTAGGAGTTCTCATAAAAATACAGTCAAAAGAAAAAAACTCAATGTCACATGGCAAACATTACCTCTAACATAAGTCAATACTATCCATTTTATAGGGAGAACAAGAATTCATATTTATACAAAATGCACCACTGTGTTTCAATATTTTAAATATTTTCTACAACTTAAAATAAAATAGTAATATCATCGAAAATGGCTCTCAGCTCCTGAAAAGTCATGCTTCGGATAAACCTTCAAGTCTGTGGTTTTCATTTAAACAATTACAGTTGCCACTGTTAATGATTTAAATTTCTGAAGGCGAACTTGCAGTAAACATAGAAATCATTTCTTCCTAAGTGGAAACTAATGAAGACTTACAGTAAGTTTAATAGCTTTCTCTGGAGCAACACCCATCAACTGTGGTAACAGACCTAAACAGATAAAAGGATATTATCAAACCATAAGGTATTATTTTAAATTAGCTAAAACTCTATATGTGAATAAAAAAAATGTATTGGAACAAAGTCTGTTAAGTATTAATTGAATCAGAACTACTAACATTACAAAAATATAAATGCATTTGCCTGTAAAGGTAAAAATAAATCTCAATTTCTGCACTCCATGCAATAACAACAATTTACATTTATATAGTGCCTTTCACATTGGAAGGATGCTTCAAAATATTTCACATGGGTGAAGAAAGGAAGAAAAAGTATAGGTAGGACTGCTAGCCTCTTGAGAGCTACATGATCTACAACCATCTTTAACTTCAATACACAGGTAAAATAATTCTGTTAAGGATGTCTTGAAGTGTTGTTTTTCTCTATGCATTCATCAAGTCTAGATTTCCGAAGAATAGAATGAGGTTTGGTGTTTTGGGCTGTTTTATTACTGCTCGTGAATTGGATCCGCTTCTGAAGAGATTGCTGATTGACATTTACTGGTACTCAGCCAGAGCAGTCATGCATAGCCGGTGCTAACAGTTAAAGTCTTTTATCAATAAGTGGACTACACTTAGAAAACAGCAGTGCTCTTATTGTATATCGTCTGGAACAATCCATCAGCAGATGGCAGTCTCTTCTTCACTCATCTGAACTTACTTCTGTTAATAGCCTGCCTTCCTCTATTGCTCACAATAATCAAAAGTATAATTCTGTATAGTTCTGACGCTCTGCAAAGTAGCAAAAGTGAACATTCTCTTCCTATTTATGACATTCCCTTGCACTTGTTCATTTTTCTCCTAACAAATGTTTTCAACCTCACTTACATGAGTTAAACGAACATTTAGGAACGTAAACTTATTTTGAAAATAGAAGTCTGAATAATAAGATTTTGGATAACTACACTTTCGTCTTTATTTTGTTTAAATATTGCTGGCAATGCTGGTTGGCATTTGAATTTGAGATCTATAAAAGGAAGAGGGGTTTGTTTCTTCTTCATCTTTATGTACTCACATACCTCCCAATAGATGCCTGAAGGCCAGCACTAGGAACAGATTAGATACCTTCCCTCGAATGGGTAATGGCAGATTGCTCTAGGAAGATCTCTCGCTTTCTCTTCTCCCCGACCTTGGCCACCCCCAACCATAAACTAAAGATGGAATTTCAGTTCAAACTTACCTCTATAAAGTCCAAAAGCACCTTCATACCGTACAACCTTCTGGAAACAATCAAAGCTATTTTTATACATCAGCTCTCCAATAAAGGATCCCGTAGATCGCTGGTTCTGCATACGTGTTTTCACTAAGTCAATTGGATAAACTGCAGTCGCTCCCACCGCTGTATAAAGCACAGGAAATTTTAAAAGAAAGTTAAACAATGCGATTTAAATTCTTACGGAAAAAAATACCCGTAAATGTGTAAATGTAATCTCAGCAAGTAGAAGAAGATTTAAAAAATGACTACCAAGTATTAATGAGGAATATCATCAGCAAAAATCATATAAAAAATGGTCATAAGTAGATTATAAGCAGAAAGAGTCTTTTGTTAGCCTCTACTTTCTTAGTGAATTCCCAGTTGTACTGGATAAAGAATTTCCTGATGACTGAAAGCAGCCTTTTTGATAAACCTGCAAAACCACCACAATTATTCTAATCCTCCAGAGAAACATCAACGCATTATCAAGGACATTGAACCATACTGACAAATGCTTCCGGCCCAAAAAGAGACCAAAAAGAGACTTGTTCCCACCCCTACTTCTAAGATCAGATAGAAAAATTATTGATTGCCAACATCAGGTGTCAGGCAGTAAATCAAAGGCTGCAATTAAATTTCAAGGCCCAGGTAACTCTTTAAGATATTATATGAGTGATCCACCAGATCATTGCTTTTAATTAATACTGAGTGTCCATTATTATGCATTTACCATTCTTGTTCAAGATCAAGAAATAGAGAATCTAGGAGTCAGGAAGCCTTGTACACGCACAGTCTCTGTCATTTGAAGAGTTGTATTAGAACCTAGAAATTCACGACACAGAAGGAAGTCATTTATCCCCACCTGTCTGCGACGACTCTCTGAAAGATATCTGCATTTAGTACAATTCTTCTGTCGTTTCTCCATACCCATTTATATTTATTCTTTTTAGGTTTTTATGTACTTCCTTCTTAAAAGCCAATATTCTGCCTCAACCACAATAGGGCAATTGTGCTTGTGGAGTTTATACAGCAACACTGAATTCAGCTTTCCATATGGCTTTTTCAATGTTACCGCTAAAAAGTTGGGAGTCAGAACATGAAAAGCAATATAAAGTATTTTATAAATCAATCTTCTACCCTGTGGTAACAGTGCACAAAAGCAGTCCTTGCAATGTCTGCAATTTAGCCTAATCCCCAAATCTTTTAAAATTCTTCAAACACTTGTTGTATCTTTCCCATCAAATATAATTAACATGTGTTTCACTGCAGGATCCAGAAGTCCTGTGTCATTATCAAGGCTTTGCCCTGAAGACAGTCTGGAGCCAGAAGTGGCACCGATAGTACTGTGTCAGGTCCTCTGATCACAGGTAAATATAAAGGGAACCTTACAGAGCCTTCCAACTCAGGTCCTTTATTACAATGGCCTGCACCTTAGTTGATCTGTTCTGGTCTGGTCGGATCCTGTTACATCAGGCGAGGTCTGAGAACAGCACAGAGACATGTCACTCACCTCCAGCAATTGAGCCCAAAGTGAACCTGTAAGCAGATTCAGCAGCCTGGAGCCATATAGGTCTTCTGTGATCACTGTAAGATTGCTGGGGAGGAAGAAAGACAAAAAAGGAATTTAAGAAAAGATGTGGAAAAAAAAGAATAGGACTATGAATTAACTTTTGTAAACAGCTACACAGAACTATAGCTGTTCAAATTCAACCCCAGTTATGTGAGCTTTTACAAACTCGAACATATGCGATTACAAGAGGAACCAGCTCAAAACTATGTGCTGAATGTTGTTCTGTTTATTCATAAAGCAATCTTCTAAAATCTGCACTAATGAGGATTTTCAATTAGTAAAGCCATAGGAAATATTTTAAAACTATTTAGATATCTTTTATTAGTACAGTATTTTTAAAAAATTCTAATTCTGATAGCATTTCACATTACTGCATTAACATTAAACAAAAAAAAGGTTTTCTATGCTTTATGCTCCCCAAAACATTTTGAATGAAATAAAACATAACTATATTCTCTCAAACAATTAATCCATATGGGAGAGAAATGCTATGAAATTAGGCACGAGTGTAGATTTATGTAGCACATAATTTGTACCATGTTGAATTAAACATGACCAACTGAGGGCAATTGAAATTAAATAGGATTGTTTATATCAATGTGTATATGTGGGCAATGAGCTCCATTTTTCTTTAACCACGCAAAATTAAAGTACAACAAAATTGTGGAACAAAATGATAGCACTTTGCATAACATCACTGCTGTTTTAGATTAGAACTGTTAAAAGTATGATGCAGAATTGCAATTTGGGACGAACGTTCCACTAAATGCTATTTGAAGACAAATTTGAAAACTCAGAATTCCAAATAGCACCAGATTTAAAAATCCTCAAAGTTGAACAATATTGGTTTCAGTAGAGAGCTGTGTTCGCCTCCTACCTGTCTCTGGATTTCAGCCAGGTTGTAGGGCAGGGCTCCTTCCTCTAGTGGTGCTATTCTTTCTATATCTGCCAGACTTACTCGTCTGTGGATAAAAACAAATCACAGAAACAGCACTTCAGTACAAAGCAGTATCTATTAAAAAAAAGTAAATATTTGTTTAACAATTAACAATTCCTGTCAAGTTATTGAACAAATCCTTGTACCTCTGTATAGATTTAATGATCAATCAACACTACCTTAATCATCCAATTCTAAATATATAATTTACGTCTTCCTAGCACTCATTTTCTTGAAGCAACTGATTTCAATGTTAAGTGTGAAAATCTACTCAAGGTGTATATTGAATAAATATATTGAATCAAAAGAACGGTAATTACCCTGTTGGGCTGTACAAACCCACAAGCTGGAAAAGGATATCGACCTCCAAAGGTGTAATTTGTCCAAATTTATTGGCAGCATGGGCAAACTCCTCTATATTTACAAAAGAAAAGCACAACGATTAGAACTACACACCCAGCGGTGAGATTGGCTTAAGTGCCTTTTTTTTCTTCAAAATTTTATTTTCAAGGAAAAAGTCTCGAAAAGTGAAAAGCAGGGGAAAAAAGGGAATGTTACACTTTTCAAAGTTTTTTGGGTCCAGGTTGAGCAAAGTGTGTTTGTACAGGTTCATCGCGGAGGGGGATGTTTGCGGTAGAGGGTGTTGTTTGTAGTGGAGAGGGTCGTTTGTAGTGGATTCCACGGAAAACTTGTGGCCGCACTTTTCTGTCGGCCCAGCTTATTACGTGCTGTAACTATTGATAACACTGCCTTGTGACTGGCTGTCATTTCTCTCCTCCCCGGATTGACTGAGGTGCTTCAGCCATTTGCTATATCACACCTGCAGCAATTACTCCCCTTGGGATGTACTCGGTAATGTGCCTTATTCCTCTGCTCCCCTTTGATGCTAATAGACTGGAATGGAAATGTACCACCTGAATAGTATACTGAAGCAACACCACAACAACATGAATTTACATAGCGTCCTACACGTAGGATAATGTCTCGGAGCACATCAATAATACCCGATAAAGTATATATTTGAGTAAAAGTCCATACTGATTAGTACAATAATGCCCAGTCTATACTCCAGGTTTTGCAGAATGGACACTGATATTTTTACCTTTGGTAACTTGTATATCTTTCCTTGTGCCTGCTAAAGTGCTGTATATCTTCCGAGAAAGTTCCATATTGTTCAGCAAAGAATTGAATGCATTAAAGTAGGAGAAGCTGACCTGATGGGAGATGGTTCCACCAGCTGCCTGTATAGTTTTTTAAAAAAAGTTACATAAACTTCTTTATAAATACACAGCTGCCACACAAGAAAATACATAATTGTTAAATGTTCTCCTAAATCCCCTTTTAGAAAGTGTGTATGTAGCCAGGAACACACTATGCTAACTAATATTAAAAAATAATAATTTGGTCACTTAATCCATGACTGTTTGTGGGACAGTGCTATGCGCAATTGGCTGCTGAGTTTCGCCCACAAAACATACAGTCACTACAGTATATTCTAGAATACATAATAAGGCGCTATATCAAATGCAAGGATTATTATTACTATAATACATGGTGAATATCAGGACTGCCAACACCATGGAGTCAGATGCCAGCATGAATGGACCTTTTAACTACACTTATTCATTCCAGTTCAGCTGTTTTGTTAAATTTCATGGTGTGAACTGTAACAGCCCAAATAGCCCAAGATTGGCTAATACTTGAATAATGTAACATCTCATTTCAAGAAACAGTGGTAATATTGAACTATAGCCACTTTCAAAAAAGACTAAAACTACAGCAGACTGCAGCTTTTTTATTCCATATATTTTTCCTGCAGGGCAGATGCAATACATTTTAACAGTCAACTTCAGAAGATAACCAGAAACAATCTTCTGAATTTCTGTCAGAAAATGAGAATGACGTCTAAACACAATTGAAACTCTTATGCAGTTTCACTTTAATTACAAAGTTTTATAAACACACCGTCCGGTTTGCGATTTCACTTACTGAAACTAGGTTCTCTTCAACAAAAGGGGTAAGTATGTGTGAGCGAATGGTAACCATGATATCATTAAAGTCTAGTGCTGTAATTGTGCCACTCTTGTTTTTATCTTTTTGAGCAAATGCTTGTCTTGCATGTTCCAGTTGTAGCTCCTGAAAGTCAGAACAAAAAAAGGGCACAAAATAAAGTAAAGTTGAACAAGCATTATTTTCTTACAGTAAATGGGTCCAATTGTAGGATCTTTTGACATCAAAAGACCGAATCAGTAAATGAGTAATTACTGTAAATCTAGACAATAAAGGCAGAATTTCCCATTGAGTTAGAACGAGTAAAATAATCCCTAGACAGAAGATATTCATGATTTGACTGAATCATGCTATACTGAATTTGGGGAATTATTCCACAATTTTTTAAAACAGTTATGGAATTCTGGATCCAGTTGCACCCTGACTGTATATCAATGTGATAGTTCTACTACGACAGATTAGCACTTCATTGCTATATATAGCTTTGTTTCAGTCAATCCCTTCTCATCCTACAATTGGATATTATCTTTGTACTAAAGCTTTATTATACAAACAAAGCACCTTGGATGGCTATTCTGAAGGCGTATTTTGTTGAAGGTTCCAGGAAATATTGACTCAAACTACCAATGCTTATCTGGAACTCCTTTTGTTCTTATTTTAAAAAATCTACAATACAAATATGTCATCACTGAAGCAACAAAAAAATGCTTTCCCCTACTGAATGTTACATGCAAGAGGAAAAAAATTTCAAAACTATACCAAGATGCATCAGAACCATTTGTCATTTGTAAACACACAAGGCTATTCTACTCAACAGAAAAAAAAATCAGGTATTTCTAGGTTTACTTTGTCTGGATAACAACTAATTGAGAAAGATCTGTGCACAACAGCTCAATAAGATACACAAGATAAATTTCTACACCAGTCATATCCCATTTTGGCCACAGTGGGGTATGACTGGTATAGAAGTATATCTTATGTTCTGGATAAAATAGAATTACTCTCTGTTGCTGGTGGTAGTACAACGTAAATAAGCAAATGTGTAGACAATCGAACTTGCCTGCAAAAACTGGGTAAATTCAGAATAGGTGAGATGCTTCTTTCTGTCAAAGCCAAAGTGCAGTCGAATAAATTCGCAGTCCCAGTTGAAAGGAATATGGTGATGAATAGTTGTCTGGTTGAAGATCTCTTTGATGTTTTCTATACAAAATTTTGAAAGGTATATTAGCGTAATCACAAAAATCTGACAATATTTAATATTCATAGACTTGTTTAAAAAGGCTGCATGCAAATCAGAAATGGATAATAAAGGCATTAGGGGCTTAACCACACCAAATCTATTAATACAAAGGGTGCTAAAATCACTGAGGTGGCAAATTGCTTAATATAAGCATTACTTTGTGTTTAGTATCCTTAGCAGATCAGTTAATGCTTTCTATGATCAACTTTAAGTAAAGCTCGGACGTAGAGTTGCGTAAGGAGGAGGAATGAACGAATGGTTACAATTATCATTATAATTAATGATCTAATCATTTACTTAAATAGAAAGCTAAACAAAGTCTGCTCTTGTAGTTAACCAGATAATGATTGAACATTTGAAAACAACATTCCAAAATAATGTTTAAATAGGCTTGAAGACATCTCCTACATCAAATGTACACCATGTAATACAAAATGTATCTTCTCACATTAAAGGGTACAGTGATATTGAGATCCACTGTAAGGTGAACCAAATATGTGTTAATGTTTCAAGCTATTATAAAATTATTTAGTATTATCCTACTGTCAGATACTCATCTTTCAGATAATGTCGTTATTTCAAATTAGCGCCTTCAACTTAATTGATCTGAGTACAGAAATTTGCAATGCAATAAAACTGAATTAGAACTGAATTGGAGGCAATGTTGAGAGCAAAGTAAAAATTTGGGAGAAAAGAGGGTCTTGGAAAAAAAGAACTTGCATTTAATAGAGCATTATCATGTCAAAATGTCTCAAAAGTGCTTTGCAGGTAATAACTGTTAAGTGCAGTGACCTGCAGGTGAATATGGCAACTAATTGCACCAGAATGGCCCCAAAGCAGCCATGAGGTGATCAGTTTATTAATCTGGAGAAGTTATGTTCAGAGGACTGAGACTTTTCTTTTCGAATAGTTCCATAGAAACTTCAAAGTTCATCAGAACAGTCAACAGGACCTCATCTCAATGTCTCATTCAACAGAAAGAAAACAATGGGATTATGTTTCAGAATTTTTTTTTAAATTCATGGCAGTCTGCTGGAACGACAACACTTTTACACGTTAATCTTCTTAAAACAAACCCTCCAAAGAACAGAATGATCGGAACCTTCAGCTTACGTGCCATTTAGTTTAACTATTCACAGAGGTCAACTGTGTTCAAACAAAACTGTGCACTCACTCTTGGATAAGCAGCCGCAATAAACTTCAGTTGTGTACTCGTTTAAAATTACAGCTACATCCGGTAATTTGGGAATAAGTGAAAATGCATGTGCTGCCTACACTCCCGTTTCATTTTAAATTGTCCAACATACCACAACAACAAATTACACTCGTATAGCTCCCTTCACGTCGAGAGGACGTCTCGAGTCACTGGACAGTCAGGGATTTGGACCTGAGCTGGGGGTTGGGAATCAGGACGGGTGAAGCGCAGAGAGGGTACGGGTAGGAGGGTGACTGAAGGCACCTATTTGAATAGTTATATATTGCATAATCTGATTATTTATTTTTTCTCACGATGTTGTTGGTGGTAAAAATAATCCTGCCAGTTGTTACCTGAAGTAATTCAATATTGCAGACTATTTATACAGCAATACTTACCAAATGTCACCTCTCCGTTGCCATTTTTGTCAAACAGCTGAAAGGCGACCATAAACATGGCATCGGGAGCACAGAGAACCGATTCAAATGCCACAAACTCTTGAAAAGAAATCAACCTGCAATCGTTAACAAAAGAAAATCTGAAATATTCTCCAGCAAGATGGAAATAGATTTCATTCAATTCGGTCCAGTTTCCATTCAAAGCCAAGAACATGAATATTTCAAAACACAGTACATAAATAAGCTTTACTCGGTTTAAAAAGGAACTGAAGATATTAACTTCAATACGCGAGTTATACAAATACATTGACATACAATGCTGCATAGACAAATATCTCACATGTTCCAGATCTAGTTTTTTTTCAATGAAATATCAGTGATTTAGTTAACCCTTTACCTCCTCCTCCCAAGCTACCAGCTCTTCTCTACCCACCCCCATAGTATTTATTAACCCTTCTTTCTCTCCCCACACCCTCCGCCACAGTGCAGGCCTTCTGCATTAAATGTATGTTCTCTCTAGCCATAAAGAGGAGGAATACACCTCGGGGCAGGAGAAGAAAAAGGGATTCGATTATAACAGTACAACTTTACCCAAAAGTTAAATTGAAAAATCTTTCAATGAAATCCAATGTCATTTAGAATGAATGCAGACACACAGATTTTGGATGGGGTAGCGGAAAGTAAATATTGCATGTTCTTACCCATCTTTAGTTTGGTCAGCAACTCCAGCCAGAAGCTGAACAGTCTTTGGATTGTAGTTTGGCTCCGTATGCAATCCGAGATACTTCTGAACAAAATCTGTTGGAGTCATGTAATGCTCCCCATCCTTAGTCACACTACTGAACTAAAAAGAGAAAAAGTAAAGTTACGATGCATGTACAGCAATGATGGCCAACCTCTTTGGTCGGTCAACAACATAAATGTTCTTGCTTGAATATTTCTTGATTGATGGATAAATCTATGCTACCTTGCTATTTCTATCATTATTTTGTTGATTAACCAAAAAGGTTGGCCACCACTGATCTACAGGAATGGCCTCACCCACAAGTAGGAAACTAAAACTGTGGGGGGAATGGTTAAAAAGTATTTTCACATTTAAAAAGCAATCTAGGAAATGCACTTCACACTTAATCATACTATACATAACCATATCAGTAGATATAATTCATCAGTAGCTCCAAACAGCAATTTTTTTGAAAAGTATTCAGCTAAAGAACCTTTCATAAATACATTAACTTTCAATCAATTGTTTGGAGTTATTATGAATAGGTGAACTTTCAATGAAAGTGAAGCCCTGTGTTATCTGCAAGTTTAGTTATTCTGTACCAGGTAATCCTTTTGTTACTGAACAAATTACGATGCAAATGTCATTTGTTAGATGTATTTTTTTGAAACTGCAATTTATAATTGCACTAAACAGCTGGGGGAAGGGGAGAGGGATTTTTTTTAAAAATATCATCAGGTGGATGAAACTTGTTGCTATTCGTAACTCGTGTTATTTGTTGTTAAATGAAACAAGTTCCTGCATTGTACAATGCTCCAACTTTGGAAAGATTGTGCGAGATTTGGATGAACCAATAGGATGAAATATGGCATTACTGCAACATAAAACTGAAACAAATAAGTGCCTGTATGTCTTTCCTACCCAAAAACAATTTTCCAACCGAAATTAAATCAGAATTTGTTCCAGTTTGCTTTGGAATGCTACAAACATGTTATTTGATTTGGTCTGTGAGCACAAAGTTGCATGTCATGGGTTTAAAATTAACAATCTTGCAGCAAAACAAACATATTTAAAAAAAGTCAAAGCATTCTTAAAGATTGCATCTAAAATGTTCCAGGAATGAGAAATGGTATCAAATGTTTTTTTCCATAGGCTGAAGTCTTTTTTGCTCTTTGTACTTCAACGACTCTTAACTTTCTATAAAACCCAAGTCTGTTTAAACTTGAATGTTGCTCCTCTATTGGAGAGGCTCTTCAAGCACTTTTCTTGCACTTTCAGCAAATACAAAAAAAGGTCCTTTGCTTTGCTCATTTTCTCTCATCTCTCACTCTCTCTCCAACAACTTTCTCAATTGTCTAATTGCCCATTTTCATTGCTCCAAGCGTTCCTTTCAAACTCGAAGTCTGTTCTCATAAATGCTTTTCCTCCTCACTGTGCTGTAATATAAACTCACTTCTATTCAAATGCATTCTTTCCCAGAACTCAAAAGACAGTGGAACCCTACATCCTCACTCTTCCCTTTCTCCTACAATCCAAAGGCTTTTAAAAACCCAACCACTTCTTCACTTATCTTATTTTCTCTGTTACTGTTTTCAACCTTGTACTTTCACTGTGGCCTCAGGACTTCACCTAGACTGCCAATTTTAAAAATAACTCACTGGGATAGCACAATAATACATTTGTGTTTGCACTGCAATCACAGTTAGGTTAAGTTAAAGCAGTAGTATTGTGCACATGACATTTCATGAAAGAATTTCACCGATTGAATGCCGTAGAACATTTTGTTACTCCATGAGCAGACTGGGAATCATTTTACTTTCCCTTCACTATGCCACCCAGCAGCTCTTTGTTCACCATAGAAGACTGGGGCTTAAAAAGGCATTAGTTTTGTTGTTCAATGCTTTGCTCTATTAAAAATAGAATGCTACTGAGCTGATGAAATGCGACTGCACATTTCAGAGATTAATGCTAAATGCTGGCAATCAACGCAATTCCAGTATTTCTAACGTCAGCACTTCCCTTTTGGGTTTTCTTTGGAAGCAAAATAAAGTTACTAAGAGTCAAAAATTGTTAAAAGTACTTTTCAGTTTAAGATCACAGTGTAGAATGACAACAACAACAAACTTGGATTTATATAGCGCCCTCCACGCCGGACGGCGTTTCAGAGCACTTCACAGTAAAGAATCCCGGGGCCGAGCCGGGGGAGGGGGAGGAAGGTGACCAAAGGCGTGGTGGAAAAGAAAGGTCTTCAGCAGGGACCTGAAAGTAGGAAGTGAGGGAGCGAGGCGAAGGGAATGAGGAAGGGAATTCCAGAACCTCGGGGCATAGTGGCTGAAGGCACGGCCGCCGAGGGTGGAGCGGAGGGCTCAGGGGACAAGGAGGAGGCCAGACCCAGAGGAACGCAGGCAACGGGGTACTGTTTTGAGGAGAGAGGTCAGAGAGGTCAGGGGGTGCAGAGGAGTGCAGGGATTTGAATACAAGGGTGAGGATCTTGAAATCGATCCTCTCTGGGACAGGCAGCCGGTGCAGTCCGGCAAGGACTGGGCGTAATCGGGGAACGTAGTTTGGTGCGGGTGAGAATGCGGGCGGCAGAGTTTTGAATGATTTGGATTTTATGGATAGTGGTGGACGGGAGACCGGTGAGGAGGGCGTTAGAGTAGTCCAGCCTAGAGGTGACAAAGGCATGGACAAGGATTTCAGCGGCCTCCAGGGGAGTGGAATGGAGAAGAACCACATTGTCAGAGGTGTCATCTTTCAGATAGGAGACTAAACCGAGGTCCTGGCTGCCTATTCAAGTCGATCTTAAAAAAATTCCATTTCACTGTTCAAAAATTATATGGCCTATGGCATTATATAGAAGTTAGATTTCAGTTATACAGTGGTCTTATTCCAACCAGTCACAGAATAACTTCCTTCATGCTGTAAACTTTCTGATCAATCAAATCATAGAAAGGACTAAAATAACACCCATTTAAAAACAATGCTACAATCAGAACTATATGCTACACTGGTAACTCTCTAGAATCACAAGAGGTTAAGGGTTAATATTCAACTGGATAACTCCTCACCTCAATAATCTTGCTTACTGACGATGGAAACATTTTGTAACAATAATTCGATCATCAGAGCCTTGGAATCAAGGATGTGTAAACATGTACTAAGATTATTTCCACAAACAAAGTTCAATAGATAACTCGGTAGCAAAAAAGGAATTAATACATTATAATCTGAGGCATTTGTTATACATAGTATAACATTATACAATGAAGCCATTTTGTTGTATTGTTAAAAGAGAAAACTCCAAAGAAACATTTTCCTGTGGGAGGCGTTGGATACTGAATCTATAACAGCAATCAGAATTGCACCAAATCTGTAAGTTGCCAAGTGACTATAGCAGGGAGAAGGTCATTGTGAGAAATGTAACTCTCTGCTTGCAACCCATCTGCAAGGACAGCAGCAACTGGGTTCCACAACCCGAAGTGTACACATGCATTTCTATATTTAGTATATAACTTCTTGCCTAAAAGAACATATAACCTTTACATCTATGACCACAGCTCATAAAAACAATCACTATGAATGTCAACCCATGTTAGAAAGAATGATATTTAGGTTTTTCGCCATCAAGCTGATTAATAGCTTAAACATAATTAACAAATCTTTAACTAGATTATTCTAGCCACTACAAATAAATGCAAAACAAAACTCTACAGAACATGCATGGTTACTTTGTCGGTAGGTATTCGGTTTGAAACTTGTGTGTAAAAAATATCAGTATTCTCTGATATATTCAAATTTCAACGTGAGCTGAAATAGGTTTGAAAATCTTTATGCATTTGCCTTTCTATTCTTCTCTCTCCTGCAGGACGCAATGTTTAAATCCAGGAATAGAAAGGGCAATTGGTCCATGTCTTTTCATTTTCCCAAAGTAAACACCTTTCTTCGATAGAACAATCATACCATTAATCAAGAGCCAACAAAATACATCAAGTTGAGGAACTGAATGGACAGTAACTTTCGGATGGAAATCAAGCACTTCATCTGACTGATGCTACCGGCAAAGAGTAACTTTGAATGTGACAATTTATAATAGTTTTCTTATAATTTTAGGATAACAGTAATGTTTCTTGTTCAGTAACAGATTTAACTAAAAAAAGTTAAAGGCAAGCTGTACCACTGCTTAACACTACTCTGTATTAACACGAGCTACAACTGAACTGTGCCAAATATAGGCCAAGAATGCATGCCCTTTTGCTAAGCAAAGCTATAACCTTACACTGTTGGTGCAAAATACAAGCTTGCTAGAGTAATAAAAATAGTTATCATGTTGCTTGTACTTTTGAGCAGAATACATAGTATCCTGTATGCATAAAAACAGTCGATAGACAAAGCAAAGATTTTAACTTGCGTGAAAAGAACAAAGGCCAAGGATGAGAAAAGATCATTTTGCCTACATAATCCCAATAGTTATGAATCCCATTGCAATCTACCTTTTCATCCATCCATCCATCCTGGAGACTGCTTATTCATTTTCCATTCATACATAATAGTTTTAAGAGTTTATTTTTTCCTTTCCTGCATGGCCTTTCATCAATGTTCCACGATTTACTTTACTATGATACCATTTTCCTCAAGTTATTCCTTTTTTTAAAAAAATGATTGGTAAATAATCCCCCAAAATAATTAGATTGTGGTGACTAGGGCCAATTGCTCCATAATTTATGAATGGTGTCCTGGTCACTTAAGAACTGGATCTACATGTCAGTAGTTGGTTCTGTAACACACCAGACAAAAAAATCCTACACCAGGTCAATCATCTATGTTGCATCACTTCCATCTGTACATTCTTAATTTATGTTGGATTGCCTCAAGCATGGCCATATACTTGTCATATCTTGCCATACAGAATGTTGCAATTGTTCTTGTTCAGCTCAGGAGCTTGCAGCAGATCAACATTAACAAACTGTTCCCATGTTCCCTTACTAAGTTAACCCAAGACTATTTTTACTTTGTGTCTACAAATTTAACTGCATTCTACTGTTGTCTCAAACACACACCATTTGCTGTTCAGTTAATGTTTACTATCCCTTCCTGAATATTCTACAGCCCTGCATATTGACTGCAATGTGCTGTCTTCTGGAATGAGGCAATATTTCTTCATCCCTTTAAAATAAATTTTAAATGTCATCATCCCCTCTTTATATCTAGCTCAAAAGCAGATCAGTTTTGTCCTTCATGTTAAATTGCCAGCTTTTCTGCTTTGGCTGTTTAGATGTAGCCAATCAATTTAGTTCCAACTTGGTTGACTCCCAAAACAGTACTGGATGTACAAAACTAATATCAAAAGTCCAACACCGAGTGAGTATGCTTATTTACCCTATAAGTTTACTCGTGAACATATTAATTGTTCCAAAACACAGGAATACCCAGAGAACAGTGCTAAATTCTTCTTTGTTATTTTCCAAGCAATACGCTTTAACCTGAACAAAAAAAGACCTGAACATGTACACAATGTCTGAGTGCCACTTAAATTCAATCACAGGCATTCTTCAAAGCACCTTCGGCCACACTCCTACCCTCCAACCTCCCCAACCCTCAGCTTGGGTCCAAATCCAACTGACCAGCACCTTGGGACGTCCTCCCAACGTGAAAGGTGCTGCACAAATGTAACTTTGTATTGTATTTGATTTTGTTAAAATGCTTAAAAACATTAAGGGAAGCTGACAACTAGATCAATACAGTATCACCACCAATATTCATAATGATCTTGACTGCTGAATACAAATTTTAACACTGGACTTTAATGCTGATAAAAAGCCCCTTGCTTTTATCAATAGTACTGCATTGGATTTATACCGTAGCAACGCCTAAACTATGTCAAAGATGCACGCCAAATCCCACTTTTAAACATATTTGTAAGTATTTACTGTCAACTCTATGTAAACAATCCACATAAATCCTTTCAATTAACTCACCTTGACAAATATTGCTCTTAATTCAGTAGGATCTGCCCTTTTTGTTGACTGAACCTGAAAAATAAAAAAAAAGTTAAGTTAGGAGCCACTCCGAATGCACTTCATCTTTAAGAGATAAGGACAAGAAGTCAGTGAATCTCAATAAGGAGCAATTAAGTACACCACACAGTTGTTTAAATGAAGGGAATAAATGGCAGCCTTTCTGTTGTGGTTACCCCTCCACTAATTGGGACTTTCCTGATCTGCTAAACATCCCTTCCAAAAACATGTTAAAACGGGCTTCTTTTTTTTAAAAAAAAACAACACAGCACACAACCCATCTTTGAGGGCTTTTCGTTCAATAGTATTTTGCGAACCAAGTGCTATCATTCTCTCTCTCTCTCTCTCTCTCTCACACACACACACTCACACACACACGCACACACGAGAAAAAAAAAAGGAACATCATTTCCATTTACTGGGGATCTGCACAGACTGGAGCAGAGAGGTACACCGGAGGTGTGCGGCTCACTCGACATCGCAGTTCGCTTCAGGTGCGCGAAACAAATAAAAACCGCTTTCTCGCTCTCTCTCTCTTTCTCTGTGTGTCTTTTTTTTGGGGGGAAAAAAAAAGGAAACGCCGAAAACGGTGAACAGCGTCAGGAACGGGGGGGGGGGGGCGGCGATTAAAAATGATCAGAATCCTCGCATTTGACGGGTTTGCAGTTGGTTGGGGAGGGAGGGAGGGAGGGAAGGTGGAGGGGGGGAAGGGGGGGGTGGTTTTTTTTTGGGGGGGGAAGGGATGTGGAAAAAAAAACCGTTGGCGCTCACAGGACAACGCCGCGAGCGAGGGCCGCCGCCGCGCGGCCCCGCGCAGGAGCTCCGACCAGCCCCGGACGAGGCGCGCTGACGCGGTCAAACGCGAGCGAGTGGAGCGAGCGAGCGGTGCTGAAGGCAAGTGCAGGCCCAGCGCCTGGCCTGGCAGCCCCGCGAGCGCCAAACCGCCAAACCGCCGCCATCACCCCGACAACATTCACACGGATTTTTTTTTTTTTTTTCTTCACACACACACACACACAACCCCCCACCGCCGCCGCCTCCCATGCACCGAATCCTCCCCTCCCATCCCCACTCCCCGCGCGTTATCCGCAGGCGGATCCGCTACGAAAATGTCAAGCGAGAAAGAGCAGCGGCTCGGCCGCCGCCGTGTCACCTTGACCGCCATGCTGATCACGTGACGTCGCCGGGCGCCCGCTCTGACGCAGCGTGTGAACCTTCCCGGCAACCACCGGGAGGGCGGCCGCGGCGGCGGTGCGCGTGCGCATGGGAGGGAGGGAGGGAGAGGGCGGGGGCGGGGCTCAGGCAAACCCCGCCCCCTGGGAGCAGCAGTGTGAGTGACAGACAGACCCCAGACAGACCCCAGGTCACAAGCAGTCGAGCCTCACCTGTGCACACCTGTGAGCTTTATTGTGGGTGGATTGACTGACCCGCTGTCCGACACCTGATATTTACGCTGCTGCTGCTGCTTTTCGCAACGCCGTTTGCAAGCAGGCGCGTGCGCGTGCTCTCCGCTCGCTTGCTGTTTTAATAATAATAATAATAATCATCATCATCATCCTCGCATTTGATAGAGCGCTTTTCACGTCTTCTCGACGTCCCAAAGCGCTTCACAGAATATACTGTAAAGTGAATTGACTGTATATTTGGGGGCGAACGCGGCGGCCAATTGCGCACCGCAGTGTCCCACAATCGGTCGTGGATTGAAAATGACCAATTTATTATTGTTTTGGGTTTTGGAGGGATTATTATTAGGCTCTGTGTGGAGTAAGGAAACTTGCCCAAGGTTTCGCCCTCTGCCTGGAATTGAACTCAGGTCTCTCACTTGCAAAGCGAGTGCTCTAATCACTGAGCTACAGGATGCTGGCATGTTCCTTTTGCATGTTCTGGAGTTGTTCTAAATCACACAGGGACATATTGAAACTCAAGGAATGGTTAATTAACAAAAATATTTTTCATGCTGTAAATAATGACCACATTTGACATTTTGTAAAACACAGCACATTTGTGGTATAGAGTACAACATTTTTGAGCAGTTAAAAAGTAGAGTTTGTTACAATAATTGGTACATTAACCCTACCCCTATAATAACTTGCATTGATATAATGGCTTTCATGAGGGAGAATGACACAAAGTGGACAATATGAGACATTGAGAGATAGGCAGAAAGCCACCATTGGTGGTCAGGCTTTCAGCCTACCTGCCCCCACTCTCTAGAACCTCTGGAGTCTCTTTGCCTTGCCCCGTCCCTCATCTTCTACAAGGTCTGTCTCAAGACTTTCCTCTTTGACCATGCCTTCGGTCATCTTCCCCCCACCCACTCTGTCCCCACCTCCAACTCCCACCTCAAGTGCAAACATTCAACTGTCCTCCCGACGTGAAAGGCACTATATAAATGCAATTTGCTGTTTTCAGTTTCCCCCAACGTTATGACATTGGTAGAGAGAGGGTGCAAGGGACTCTGTATCATAAGAAAATAAACTCAGAACCAGAAAGTGCTCTTACTTCTGATCTCTTTTTAAAGACTTCTACTGGGAGTTATAGGCATGTGTTGGTCAGGTGAGGACATGATAGGACTCTGTGATCACACATACGCACATACACACACACAATGGAATAGACTCTGAATAATGTCAAAGGCTCACACATGAATAGCAACTACTTTGGCTGAGGTATTGGGGGCACTGCAAGGTGCACCACTTCCATGGAACGTTACCTCCGTAGAAGGGGAAAAAAACAGTTCAACACCCTTCCGAGATGGGAGAAAATTGGAAGAAAAATAGCAGAGAATAAGAAAGCCTGAGTTGTCCTCCCTGTTTATTTTCTTCCCTTATTCTGCGAAAATGCTCAGCCTCGACTGCACCTCCTTTTGATAGCTCCCAAGAGATTAGTAACTGATCGTAAGGGGAACTGCAGTTATCAGCTTCTGAATTGCCATTCTATAGTATGGCACATTGAGCCCTGATTTTCACAGAGTTTATAGGTTACTTTAGGTCACGGAATCCAGTCGTTTGGAAACAAGAAGAAGTGTGCTAAGGTAAAATATTCTTATCCAAATACTCTTTATATCTGCAGATATCTACCTAGTAGTGTGTTTAGTATGTTTAATTCAATGGAAGTAGTGCATCTGACATTCAGGAATTGTAGAAAAAGTAAAAGATACAACGGGAAAGATTAGAAGGGGGTCAGCATAAATGGCACATTTTCTTTAGAATACGGCTAATTTTGTGACAATTCATGTCTGAGTAACCACATAAGTGGGGGAATTATAGAGCTGTTGGCAGAATATGAATTATTCTTACATAATGCAAAACTCTGAAGTTCATCCTTCGTTCCACAAACAGCTCTGTGGGTTTCCTAAAAAAGGCAAAGTAACTTTCCTAAGTGATGACTGATTATGCTCAAGAACTAATATTGTATTAAAATGGGTTTATGAAAGTTAAAGGGATAAACTTGTTATGAAGAGTTTTATTCGTATCAATTTTGCTATATGGTTGAAGCAAAACTTTAAACAAAATCGAAAGTCATCAATCAGCTACAATTATTGTATATACAGCGAATACCAGTTTCTTGATCGGGCACTTATTGGGAGGAGGTTTGACTAATTGTATGTGGGGGTCAGGGTACGTAATACTAATCCTTGCATTTGATATAGTACCTTATCACATCGTTGAGACGTTTCAAAGCGCTTCATGGAATGCATTATGACCTATTATTTGTAATTATAAACTATGATGCAGAAGGAACCATAGGAGATCAGGAATTTGTGAGGAAATAAAAGCTTATACCCACCACTGACAAAAGCAGTACAATGGAATTCTAATTTGAGATCTGTGTGTGTAGTTAAAAAAAAACAATAGCTGGGAGATTAGTGTAGGATCATAGGCTCTAAACAGTGGATTACCACTGAGCGGGTTGAAAAATTTAGACTGATTGCTGTCTGGCACCAACAGTCAGTCCAGTCGCCAGTAGACATTGTCAGAGAGAAAACTAGTGTACACTGTAAGGCGGAAGCACTCTGCATCATTAAACGTTAATATACGTATATTAAATTACTGCATATTGAAAGACCATCTCTTGTAGCCTGTCTGCCCCCATCCCGGCTCCACCCCGACTCGTATATAGGTGCAGTGTGCAACAGACAGAATCACTGAATGGCACAATTGTCTAATTTGTCTAGCTCTCACTGTCTTAACATCTGGCTCTATTTCCAGCAGCTGCTCAAGTTGAAAAATGGACCGACATAATTCTTTTTTAAAAAGTTTAAGACAGCATAGAAATCCAGGGTGGATACAGCAGATACATTAAATGTTTTGAATAAGTGATTCTGCATGAACTGAGTAGCAAGTTGAAGCTAGATGGTACAACTGATTAGTGAATAAAGGTTCTTTAGATGGATCAGATTAAGAAGAACTTGCTCTTAAATGGTATGTCCTGTACAGTATTACATATTAGTACAAGCATTCGTTTGATTCATTGTACTGACAAAATCAGAGGAAACATTGTATTGTATTTTCTATTTCTGATAAAAGTTTTCTGAAAATAGATGGGACATCCAAAGCCTGAAATTTTCTCATGGCCTTAAGACTTTGTTTTAAAATGTAACATTATGCAAAATTTTGAAAAATCTTACATTCACTCTTAATTTGGAAGTTATACTTAATAATAATAAGAATCCTTGCATTTGATATTGCGCTTTATCAGGTTATTGAGACGTCTCAAAGCGCTTCACAGAATATACTGTAAAGTGAATTGACTTTATATTTTGCGGGCGAAACGCAGCAGCCAATTACGCACAGCAGTTTCTCCAGTTCTTTTTAATTTATTTGGAAATTACAAGCACAGACCACAACAAATTATATTTGCAGAAATTAAACACCGAGAGCAGGTTTGCTCCAAGCTTTATAAAGGTTAAATCACCTTTTAAGAAAGGTTGGTAGTTTATCCTGGGGTTTCCATCATTATATGAGTGTGCTTCCAGTCTATGACAAATTATTTAATCTGTGTCACTGAGATTTAGGATAAAGCTTGAGATCTAACTGGGCAATGAACCAAGCATTCAATATCACTGGTATGATGTGTGTTTGGAGAATTCAATTTCATTATTAAATTAATTGAAAATGTGATTGGTCACAATGGAACAAAACATCTCACACATACTTAAATAAGTGAGTGAACATCTATCTATCATTATTAGCTGGATATCAATATTACTTGATCATCCAGCTTCTACTGCAATGATTATGATGCTATTACGATTCCATGGTCATTTGCGGTATTTTAGCCCTGATTGCCAGATGAAAGAAGCTGGGTTATCCCAGCCATAATAAGTATTGTGTAAAAAAAAATCCATTAATATGATGGGTTCACTGCAGCAAGACTTCATTTATCTTCCAAGGCTTTAATAGGCTGTCTCAATAGTAAGCAGCACATGGAGCAGGATGGAGAATGGGAGCATGTTACGATTCCAATTTACATTTAAAAGGATGATAATTATAGTGGCTTGTCTCAGTGGTAATTTTGGCCTTGCAAGAACTTTTAGAAGTTAAAGAAGTATCAGTCCTTTGTGGTTACACAGCTGTGTAAATTAATAAAACAGGAATCAGCTACAGTCTATGATAAAGAGTTCTGACCTTGATCTTGTAATCATTACTTTTTCGCATACAATTGATTCACCATATCCCCCAAAAAGCTGATGATCCTAAATTTAGTAACGTTATTATTATTTGTTCTTTTTTGTAATGTGTTGAGAATGGTTGAAATTGTAAATACTTAACATTATTGTGGTTCTTTAAAAAAGTGTTTGACTTTGAAGTTTTTTCGGAGTCTCCACTCGAAATTCATTTCAAAATCCGTCTCCAAGTAACAGTTCTTTGCCTTCCCAAAGCTCGGTGGGAAAATTCCTCTGAAATCCCCAATGTGGTCGATGCAATGTCTTTCTGGAGAAAGTTTTTGATATCCACATTCTTTGACCTCTCCCAGTTTCCCAGAATTTTCCATTTTGAATTGGGTTTTAGTTCTCCAAAGAGTTGGCTGTCCCGATATAGATTGATATTGCATTACAGTAAGGCACATTGTTATTGTTACTATATTCTAATAAGGATTTCAGTGATTCCCTTTTTTGGGTCAAAATGAGGCATGGACAGAGTTTATCATTTACTGGGAAGGGGGGGGGGGGGGTTAGTGAAATGAGAGCAGAGGCATCATTTCAGAAACAATTTTTTTTA